GGCCCCCCCCTCCCTGGCTGGCGAGGGTCAATCTCGGGCGGGGGGGGGCGGTATGTGCCCCCCATGCCCCCCTTATGTGTCACCTATGTGTCAGGGTGATTGAAGTCCCCCATGAGAACCAAGGCTTACGATCTGGAAGCTTCTGCTAGTTGTCTGAAGAAAGCCTCATTTGCCTGGTCTGGCAGGGTGACCGCCTGTCCCTAATTGGGTGGGCAGTCCTAGAATGGGAACATTATGTCCTGGTCCTGGGCTGCATGACTCTGGGACAGCATTTGTCCTGGATTTGTAGTATCCTGCAGGGATCCAGGTTTGGAAAGTGGCAGGTTTCCCCTTGCAGGCTGCTTGGGTCTGCCAGGAGTGGGACATGGGGCACCACATGCATGTGTGTGCCTGAACACATGCACTTGGCTGGGAATACAGCTGGGCACAATGGAAAGCAGCTCCCTGTGGGTAAATCTGTTGTGGGGAAGGACTGTGCGGGGGGGCAGATCAGGGCCCCCATGGTGAGGGAGGGAATGGGGCAGGGGCAGGGGCTGGAGGCACTGCCCAGTCAGGGCAGTACATGGGACTTGGGGCTCAGGGGAGGAGCAGGATGGAGCCATGGGCAGCTAATCCAGGGGCTGCTGGTGGGGGTGACTCCCCACCTCTGTGTGCACTCTCAGGGGGGAATTGAGGGGTGTGCCCCCCAGAGTTGTGCATGGGGCAGATATGGGCTGCCTGCTCGCTGTAGGGTCAGGGCTCCCCACCCTGCTGCTCTCCTCTGGGAGCCCTCTGCTGTCTGCGCCACCATGGCAAGGTGCCCCTGCCCAGCTGGCTGCAGCAGGGTGACAGCAGTGTGGACTTGTGCCCCTGCTGCTGCTGGGCAAGCAGGGGCACATGGCAGGTGCACGCTCCCAGGGGAAAGGCAGCAGGGCAGTGAGCCCCAAGCCTGCAGCGGGCAGCCTACAGCCACCCTTTCTCCATTCGGCTCTGCTCCAACTGTGCTGCCAGGAGGGGCAGAGGAAAGGAGGATAGGCAGGCATGTGTCCTCCCTTTTCATTTGGAAGAGGTGGTCACCCTATGGTCTGCTGGTCTATAGCAGACCCCCACCACTACATCACCCTTGTTGCTTTCCCCTCTAACCTAAACCCATAGACTTTCAACAGGCCGGTTTCCAGTTTCATACTGGAGCTCTGAGCAATCATATGGCTCTTTTACATAAAGTGCAACTTCTCCTCTTCTCCCCTGCATATCCATCCTGAACAGTTTATACCCATCCACAACAGTGCTCCAGGCATGTCAGCTCCCACGTCTCTGCTATTCCGAGCACCTCATAGTTCCTTGACCGTGTGAGGACTTCTGAATAAACCCCTTTCAAAATCATTTTTGTTGAATTCTGCAACTGTGCAGTCAATGAGACCACATGGTATCTGTCTATCCTGCCTGCTTCCCTTTCCTTCCTTTCTTCTTATGCCCTTGCAACCAGGTATTTAGCTGAATTCACGGATGTGTTGAAATCCACCACGGCTGCGTTCTGAGTGTTGCTGCTATGGCCTCAAACTTGAGCGCAACAGAGCTCGAGGCTGAGGTAAAATATCTGCTCAGCCTTTTGGCTCAGATCAAGTGTAGCCCTGGGGCATCCATGTCCCAAGACCTCTGTGCTTGGGCCTGCATATAGGACGCCTGCTGATGGATTTGGAGTATCTGAAGTCCCAGAGTGAGAGGCTGGGACGGGGGATGCTTGCCAGTTGTAGCACCACCATTTAAGTTCTGCTTGCTCAATTGATACGGTTTTTGGAACTCAATTGATACGATTTGGAACTGATTTGACCTGGAGCGTGAAATATATTAATAAAGAAAATTACACTCAGAGGTATAACTAGGAAGGTTGACTCCCAGGGAGGTGAGGGCCAAGAATTAGGGAGGAGCGGAAGCGTGTCTCCTGGCTATCTCCGGGTGCAGGTGCTGCCCTGGCCCGGGCCCCCCTGAGCCCCCCTTCTGGTGCTCCTCCTAAATCAGCGCCTGGAGCCTGCGCCACTTGCCGGGCCCTAGTTATGGCAGCTGGTCGGGGCGGGCATGGGTAAAGCTTGCAAGGTTGAGGCCACAGCAGAAGCGCACACGAGAGATCCCAGCACGGCCGGTCACAGGGGTGAGGGGGAGGATGCCGCGTAGTCTCCTTGTCTCTGCACGCTTGCAGGATCCAGCAGCCCCCGTCCGCTTCCCAGAGCTGCTCTCCGTGTTCTTACGAGAACACGACAGCACCTGCGCGAAGGCGCAAGGAGCCCCGCACACTCCCCCACCACTAGGCAGTCTGGGTCCTTCCTGTGACGTAGCACCCGGGGAAACCCCAGTCCGGAAGTCCCGCCCTCCCTCTCTTGGCCCAGAGCTAGCTCAGTCCGGGCCTGGGGCTGGGCCCGCTGCCGCCGCCGCCGCTATGGGGGGGAAGAACAAGCAGCGAACCAAGGGCAACGTGCGCGTGAGTCGCGGGGGCAGAGCGGGCCCTCGGGAGCGGCTGGGGGAGGCCCAGATATGGGCACCTACACGCTACACGCAGTACACACACCACGTACCACATACACCCACCTACACCACATTGTATACATGCTATACACGTCACACATACATACACATCACGCACACGCAAACCCTGTCCAGCAGACGGCCCTGGCCTTGGGTCAGTTCCTGGTCTGGGCCTTTTTGGTCTGCTCCTGTGGCTGTAAGGCAGGCAGGGCATCCACGGATAGAAGGTGGCTTTCATTGAAGCCCCTTGAAGACAGCTTTATGAAAATGATTTTGAAAACCAGCCTTTAGTTAGAAATACAGAGGGATTTAAAAGGATCTAAACAATTAATGCACCTTTTCTCTTCTCATTTTATACCAGCCTTCTAGCAGTGGTCAAGCCGCAGAGCTTCTTGCCAAAGAACGTGGGACGGTGCCTGGGTTTATTGGCTTTGGAACATCTCAGAGCGACCTAGGATATGTTCCTGCAGTTCAAGGAGCAGAAGAAATAGACAGTCTTGTAGATGCTGACTTTCGAATGGTGTTGCGAAAACTTTCTAAAAGAGATGTCATAACAAAATTAAAAGTAGGTGTATCCTTCATCCCTGAAAATTGATTTTTTTTTAATTTTCCTTCAAAAGAAAAATAACTTGGAGTGAAAACCTTAATCTGCTGAAGACACTGAAAAACTCTTCTTGATTTCAGTAGGGTCAGTTTCCCCCCAGATAATTTGTGATGAAGTCAGAGACAAGACAGCTAAATGAAAAAAGGCTACTAGGCCTAATAATAATTTATGCAAAATTCTTATTGAAGCCTTGCGTTGAAAGAGGTATTTTTTGTGGGAATGTTTAGAGAGGAAGCTATCAAAATACTGCTGCATTTTCATGTTAGTAAATTTTATAGATGTAAAGTGATTCTTTTAACTTTTTTAGCATATGTTCCTTAAATGTTGCATAAAACTACATTGAACTGTTTGCAATTATGAGGATGCCGTGGAAAATCTCTAGAATGATCTGTGGTTTTCTACAGAGAGAGGGGGTTTATAAGAATAACTCCAGTAAATTAGTGTGTGTAGATTTATTTACAAGGAATGAACCAGTTCCTAGTTTCATGAACAAATACTAAAATATAAAGCAAAAGTTTGATTGTGCTAAATTGCGAGGTATTTCTCCTGATTGTTTTTTTTTTAATTCTTATTATTGACATTTTCATTTTAGGCTACGCAGGAGTTTGGGGCGATGTGCAAGGAAAGAGAAGCAGAGATTGTTAAAGGTGTTCTTCCTTACTGGTCAAGAATTTACTGTAAAATCTCTCTTGTAAGTATTAAAGATCATACATTTTTTCCCGAAAAATAAATAAATCCAATTTCTTTGGGCACTTTTACCTTAATCCATACAGTAGTCAGATTGACACACTGAGTTTGGTATTATGATGAGCTGGCAAACTTGGTTTGAAAAATAATTGTTCAAACTTTGAGAAGCATTTTTTTTCTATGAGGCTGGATGCTTTTGAAAGGCCTGGTTTGTACTGCTTTTTCTGCTCTGCACTTGGGTTTTGGATAGAGGCTGTTGATTATGAACACCTTGGGATGTGATATGAAGATTTACTAGCTTCACCCTTCAACGTAAAAACCCCCCAAAACCCACAGTTTGATTTCACAGACATCTATACAGGTAATAAAAACATCTTCAGCCCAGTGTGATGCATTCTTTTTATTAGTTACCTTAAACATTAATAATTTGGGATAGAAACAATACCTGATGGGCATTAAGACCGTTTGCATTTGGCCAGGTTATTCCATAATTATCCATTCTGATATTCTGTAATATTTCTCTAAAGTATCTGACATTGGTCTCTGTCAGAAATCAGATACTAGAAGAGATATTAATCACTATTCTGATCCAATACAGCAATTCTTATGTGGAACCACGGAATACAGAAGACTGCTATTTATATATATAACTTTACCAACAAAGTTTTAATGTTTACAAATATAACATGTACACTCTTACAGGCACCCAAGTAGTTTAAAAAAAACAAACATATGCAGGAAAGTGTTATAATTGAAGGTAGTTTCCTGTTTTTTCTTGTACTCATTTTCTAAGAATATGTAAACAGATAAGATATGGTTGCAGTTATTCAATAGCTAATGGAACCCAAACAGAATTAAAACTCTCCCTTATAGGATATACTACAGGTCACGATTATGTTGGTGTTGAATTGGGGCCCTGGCCTATACTAGTGAAAAAGACATACTATGTGGGCGCATCTACATGTGCGCTCAACTTGTACTTGCTAAAGCAGTTACTAAATGCAAGTACTAAATGACTGCGCAGTAACTACCATTACTGCTTTGTTCCAGTGGTGCATGGGTCATTTTCCGACCCTACTGTGCAGAAGCAACCAGCTACTGAGCAGTAGTGTCAGCATCGTGGTTTGTGCCCGCTGATGCTATGTCACCATAGCTCATCGCTAGCGTTTTGCAAACTTGAGAATAGTTTTAAAAGGATGAGTGGAGCTGTCTCTTTATGCAGATTGAATTAATTTCTTTGCTGGTTCTTTCCTTATAATGCAGCTCAGTCAGCTACACTCTTCTGAGTACAGCCAAATATAGCCTTACTGGTTAAAAACGAAAGGGATAAATATATTTTAAAATATATTTTGCAGCAGGCTGTGCTAAAACTGTATTTCTTGTATGTGCTGGAGATTGAAAGAGTTAGCAAATCCCAATAATTTTTAAACTAGATTAAAATTAACCTTGAATTTATATGGCAGTCAGTTATCTTTATATTCTCATTCAGAATTTACTATTAAAACGTAATTTAAGAAGTTGCAGTTTCTAGGTTGATAATGTTTTGACAGGTGTTAGATCTGTAATTCATGTCAGTAGTCCCAGTGATTATGTACATGAAATCAGTGGGATTATTAAAATTACCAAGAATCATCCATATCAATGCAGATAGGAAGAGCTACTCAAAAACATGTATTGGTCTTCAAGGCCTTTCAGTATTTTTTTAAAACTAATGCTTTACATTTTTAATTTAATAATCTTTTTCCACTTCTTTGAGAGAGCTTGGGATTTCACAAGAATAATCCACTGGGTTTGGGATAGAAGGATTCCATTTCAAACCTAGATGGACTAATAATGTGATCAGCACATCAATTTCTGCATAGACAGAAAGCTTTTCTTTTTTGGGTGGGAATAGCTGAGAGATGACAGTAAAACAGAAGCATTTCTGCTCTAGAATACTTGCCATCAGAAAATGTGTCTATATATATTTAAATCTTTTATTTTAAAACAGGATAATGACCGCCGTGTTCGAGAAGCAACACAACAAGCTTTTGAGCAACTTATTCTTAAAGTAAAGAAACACTTGGCTCCTTACTTAAAAAGTATCATGGGATACTGGCTGATTGCTCAGTGTGATACTTATTCCCCTGCAGCGTCAGCAGCACAAGTAGCATTTGTGAAAGCTTTCCCTTCAAGCAAACAATCTGAAGCATTGGTATTTTGCAGAGATGAAGTTTTGAATGTGAGTTTGTAGAATATGATGTTCTGATTTTTTTTTTGCAAGAACTGGTTACCTTTCAAGTACTTTTTTCCTTCCCTTCTCAAGTCTCAACTCATGCATGTAAAATTTAGAAAAGCATGTTTTCCGCTCTCCTGAAACTCCTTATTAATGTGAGTTATGTTTACCAATACCTCCCTTAATTTTTCATCCACGTTGAATCCATATAGCATTGTACAGCCTGTGGATATGGAGGTAAGGATTTTGTGGAGGTACGTGGAGGTCAGGATGTTTTTGGTTGATATCGTTTATTGGACCAACTACCACATGGAGTCTGCAATATTCCTGCTATGCATTTCTATGTAACAATCCAGAGTTGCAATATATGTTCCAAGCCACATTCACCGGTTGCTGACAGTACATGCCGGCAATAGATAGAGCTGAACTGAGAGGGCAAAATCACATTCAGCATCGTTTTAAGAAGTGTGTCTGTGCCTTGTTCTTAATAAGTTAAAAGCCTTATTCCACTATATTTGAAGCCAAGCCAATTAACCTTGGACAATTTAGCATAAACGAGAGATGGGTTGTAATCAAACTTCTGAGATGCAAAGCATGCTAAACTTTCTTTATTGGTTTCATCCTGGAGATGCGTGGCTCCTCTGTGTCAAAAGTGGCTGTATGATCTAGTGGTGGCTGGAACATGGCACTAGATTTTGGGAACCCTGGTGTCTGATCCTATTTTTGTCATTAGTTCATGGATGGTCTAAGTCACTTCAGTTCTCTTCTCGCTGGTTTGGTTTCCCATTTAAAAAAGAAAGAAAAGTGCTTAATAATTACATGTTGCTGAGTTCTGAAACTTCACTAGTTGTCCTTATTCTAAGTAATTTATAGCATATGATTAACGTTCATCTATGAATAGTGTTTTCATTTGTCTTGTCTAGGTGTTACAAGATCATCTTCTGAAAGAAACGGCTGATACACTTAGTGACCCTCAGTATGTTGTTCTACTTTAAAGTTACTAGTTTAAAAATTTATTTTGTCCTAAAACATTGTATTCTGTTTAGCTACTTGAATCCATGTCAGTAGGTATATGAAACAGCATTTGACAAAAAGATCAAATTAATTTTTAGCCAAATCTGCGGAGAGAAAATATAATGGAGATTCATTATATTATATGGCAAATCTATAGCAACTTTTTTTTTTTGTTAAGGAAAGTGCTTGTTTTCTTTTGGGTGTTAGCCTGTCAGGCTGATAGAGATTCAACTAGAAGGCCCTGTATGATACCATGTGGGACACCTGTGCTTGGGAGTCTTGCTTATAACTAGGTTTTTAGGCTGGTGGCATGCACATTTAACCATACGCGCTGAGGTGGAACAAAACCTAACAGTAGTGGTAATCGGTACTTCAGTAAAATATTGGAAAGCCCTTTAATACTGTGATGGTGAGCAGAGTTTGAGAACCTACATAGGAAAAATAGACCTGGGCTCCGAAGTTATTTTTAATAGGCTGTATAAAACAACATGACTAATATCTAGTATCTATCAAGTTCGTGTTCTTTCATCCTCTGTTGTGTCCCGCCCTTCCTTCCCTATTCCCCATCCTTGCCATAGAGATAAGTGTGTGCAGTGGAACATTTTACTTTTGGAAATAGTTTAATACCTATTCATGCAAGTTGCTAGATGTATGGTGGAGAAAGCAGAGTGAGTTTCTTTGACCTTTCCCTTACAGTGGGAGGTTATCGAGGTTTGTGAGTTCTGCTTGCTGTGGATATTCATTCTGTAGCTGTGGATAGATCCCCAGGAAAGCCCCGTCTCCTACAGAGGTTTCATTGTGCCAGGGGAGCATAGGGATCAAATAGAGTTTTTGTTTTGGTGCTTTGGATTGCGCTTACCCAAGGCCATTGAGCATCTTAAATATAAGGACTGAGACTTTGAAACCTGATTCCCTAGTCTATGGGAATCTTCTGTAGGAAGCAGACGGCAGGTATGTTGCCTTCATATGTTTCCAGCATTGCTGAGGAGATGGGCAGTAGAGTTGAAGTTTTCTAAACCTGAAGTCTTCATGCTGTGATCCATTGCATTGCTGTAATTAAGCTGAGCAGAGATGAAGCTATAAATGAGGCCAGACCATAATTAACTGGGATTGCATAGTGTGTGCTAGTCAATAGAGATAACAGAAAGTGGTGGTCACATATGCAGAGTATTTTTAAGATTGGGGAAAAAAACAGCCAATCAGTTGATTGTGAACTTTTGACCAAAGGAGGTGTTGCTGTGGCTACAAACAGTTCAACATGCTTTCCTCTTTCCATGCCTGTCATCTGTGTCTTGTCTTGTGCTTTTCAGTTTTAACCAGCTGTTTTTCACCGTTGAGCTAGTCTCATGCAGATGGTGAGCCACTTGGGTAGAAATGGTATAGTTGTGATTTAATGAACCATAAGTAGAACTTTCTGATGTCTGCATATTGCTAACACCTAATCCATGTCATGTGGCTGCATATTAAATTTGAATGAGAGGTCATTTATCTTTGTGGGAGGGGTTTGGTGATGGAGGGAGTTTTCCCATTGCTTATTGTTGGAAATGCCTCTGCAGGAAGGACTCAGTCCATTTTAATAGGTTCCTGAGGCTCTTCCTGATTCTCTGTCACCTGTCTCAAGCAAAACACCAATATCTCATGATCAATTACTGTTGAATACTGCAGAGAGGTTCCAAAGGATGAAAATTGAGGTTGACCTCATATTCTTTGACAGACAGGCATCCACTAAAGCTGTATCAGTGTTACATTGTGACCTGAATACTGATAATCCTGGGACTGTCATATTTGCTTCAGTTAGACGAGTTTGTAGTTGAATTTTGTTTAGCTTCTGGGTGGGCCTGCTCAAGAGCAAAAGGTTTTGGTACTTACAGGACCCCAGTAAGTCCAGGTTGGGCCTCTTCAGCATGGGTTAGATTATGGCTTCTTTGGGTTTTATCAAGGACTTTTTTTTCACCAGTCTGGCAAGGTAGTGATCAAATCTCAGGGACTTCTTTAGGGTGTCCAGAAATTCTTGATCAGTTGAAAGTGCTGAATTCTCCAAATTCAGGCAGGTGGTTGGTTGAGGGGGTGCAGGAAAGATAGGTCCAAGTGGCTTGGGAAGCTTTCAGAATATGCCTACTGTATAGCAGGTTTCCTCAGCTCTTGGTATACAGTTCTGATGCCAGGCAAATCTTTTGGGCTTGAATTCAATTGCTGTGCCTTCCGTCTTGTTTTCTCTACATCTTCAATGAGCCAAGAATCCTGGAAGGATGAAGCTACCACAGGGCTCTTAGGCTAGGAAGGCTGCTGTCCTTCCTGCTTTCAAAGGAGACGATAGTTGCTTGGGAACCTACATTACTTTATTTAATTTTTAGTGAAACTTTAGGCTTCCAAGTGCCTAAGTTTCTTTTGAAAAATGTATTTTGTGTAGTCATTTTATCCTCCTGGATTGTGTGCATCATTGATAAGTAGCTGGAAGACAGGTTGCCTTGAAACTTGGCCTTTTAGGAGCCAGCTGAAGAGGAAAAATGAACTTCCACAAAATGTTTTCCTTTTATAAGTATGGTTTAGTGAAATTTTTAAACTACCGGGAAACTCAGTGTAGTGAGCACTGTTACAGTGTGTATTAAGAATGTTAAGTTTTCTTGTATACAGAAAATCCTGAGAAACCTATTGAAGACCTATAAATATACACATTTTGTTAAAGCTCAGTTAATTTTGTTAATCTTTCTTTTGTGTTTTGTTTTTTAAGAACAGTACCAGAGGAAGAAAGGGAAGCCAAATTTTTTCGAATTCTCACCTGTTCTCTATTAGCCTTAAAGAAGTTGCTTTGCACGTTGCCGAAACATGAGAACCATTCACTTGAGGAGAAGCTAATGCCACTTCTGTGTCAGCAGAAATTTTGGAAATACAGCAAGCACAGTGTACCACAGGTTGCTTATCTTCTTTGTTCCTTTGTATGTTTTATTCACAAATGTTACTTTGAAATTTAGGGCATTAAACGATCTGCTCTACTGTGCAAGAAAGAATCAACTGTGGGGGTTCTGCTGATGTATATTTAACATAGTCTTCCAGTTATAAGACATGTGTCATGCTTTAGGCCAGGGGTGGGCAAAGTGTGGCCCTTGGGGTGGATCAGGCCCATGGCGAACTCTGTTTCCCATCTGCCCCTACCTGTGTTGCTGTGGCCGGTTTCCATGGAGACTCCAATAGCGGCGACGCTGTGACAGCACGGGACCAGGGTTTCCATGGAGATTGGCCCCAGCAGTGCTGGCAGGGTGTGCAGCTGGGAGGGGAGCTGCTCTGGGGCTGTGGCTGGGATCTTGCAGCGGTGACAGCATGGTCCAGAGCCAGGCGGAGCTGTGGTCCGGTGCCCACACCCCATTTTCTCTTCCCAGATCCGGGGCATGTGAGCAGTGGGCTTTTGGGAGATGGTGTCTGGCCACCGGCCAGATCTGCCATTTTTGTCTACCCGTGCTTTTGGCAGACTGGACAAGCTTGCCCTGAGACCTGCTTGTTCATTGGTTAATTTGAAGCCAGCATCATCTGTTTATCTGAAGTTTGCTGCTGAATTCTTGTAAATGAAGCAAACTCCAGAAGCTTAACGCACAAGCTCATAGATGCTTTTAGGTGGGTCATTAACTAAATTATTTTTTTGGCCTTCACTTTGCCAAGCATTTTATATTATTATCAGTGCAGAAGTGGCATCATTTCAATGATGCGTAAAGTGATTCATATAGTAGTTTGTCAAAACATTTTGGAATGCTTCAAGATACAGTGCACTGCATAAAGATGTCCATTGTTTGTAATGTTTTGTTTGACTGAAAAAATCTTCTTTTCCAGTACTTAGTCTATCTCAAAGCTTCTGTTATGTAAGTTCACTGTTTAAAAAAAATTTTTAAGTTGAACTTTTGTGCTAACTCGCATTTTATTTTGACTTTTTGTGTGTGTCTTCCTTCAGGTTCGCTCAGCATTCTTTGAGCTGGTTTCTGCTCTTTGTCAGTACCTGCCTGAGTCGATTAAACTTGAAGGACCACGTGTTTGTCCTGCAGTACTTCTGAGTATTGATGACAGTGATGCAGTGGTGTGTCCAGCTCTTTGGGAAGCCATACTTTATATTGTTGCTACCATTGAGGTAGGCAGAAAATTTGAGAGACCAGTAGTTTATTTGATTATCGCTAAGGCTTAAATTTTCATGAAGTAATTTCACATTGAAACGAAGCAGCATTACCTGCATATTGGAAAAGTACATTAACTGCTTCAGTGCATGGTATCATTCTGTCCTGCCATCTCCTTTGTAATTTAATTTGTATTTTGGTTAACTGTATGTAGTAAAACCCAGTTTAGTCTTATGGGGTTGTTCGCAAGCTGCCATAAGAAGAATGAGCTGATCAGCTATTTGCTGCAGCTTTTACTTCAAAGGGCACCACTTCTCCAATCAACTAGAGCCCATCAGAGAAGTGGTACTCTTTGAGATAAATTGCTAGCAAACAACTGGAGCATTTCAACAGTTCTGCATACTCATTTGCTGCAGGTCTGTAATCCCCAGTTACTTGGCAAACTCTCAACTTCATAGGGGTTTTAAGGAATCTAACCCAACAGAGTTACCTAGGTTCTACTGTACTAATTGTACCTTTATCCTTTATAACTACTTGTTTTTCCTTAACTGTGCGGAAAATGGTGAAGATGAAACAATTGTCAAAGGATTGTTAAAAGCCTTGAAAATGATAGGAGGTAGTCAGTCATTTTCAGAGCTGCTCTCACTCCTCATATTCAAGGCCTCTAATAGCAGCCCCATAGTGGCTTTTAGAAACCTTGAAAAAGAGGGAGCTTAGCAGTCCTGAACCTGACGATACCTTAGTATGAGCTGTAAGCAGTGCTGGCTAAGTATGCTACTATCAGATCCGTATTTTCAAGGTTACTAGTTGCAGCCTGCAATCTAACTACTAGCAGCCTTGAAAAGGAGGGGAGCTAATCAGCTTTGAGGCTGCGAATACCACAGCAGGGATGAACTGTGTTTAATGAGCAATGTCTGTTTCCATTAAGTTTGGACAGGTGCACTCTCTCGGTAAGTGCAGAGTGTTTTTCAGTCCTGAGGTTGTGCACATATATGGACTACATTGGTACAGCTAGTTGGAGTTTTTATAGACAACAGTTGTGGTTTGTTTTATCATTCATTAGTTAAAGCCTGATTTTTGTTACCGCTTTTCCTTAGGTGAAATCTTGGTCTCACGTAAGTCAGTCGAGTTTTGCCAGGATTTCACCTCAAATGCTTCTGTTAAGTGGGATCCTTCTTTGTAATGATTATATTACTATTAAGCATGACCATAGCCATATATGAAAATCAGTAAACTTTCTTTTTTCCTTCACAGTTTATCAGTGCAAGTAAATGGTACTGTTATGTCTGGCTTTTTTTTTTTTTGGTCATTTGGTCTGCTTTACAAATTAGTCCTAGACACAAGATCAAAATATTTTTTTCCATGAGTTCTCAAATTCCTAATGCTAGTTAGGTTGGTGATGGGTTAAATCTGGAGCTAAAATAAAAGTAACAATATCAAAGAAGAAATGTAACTAAATGGTATTAGTAGTCCTGGGATTACTTGAAACAAGTCCATTTTGACTGCTTACTAGAAGATCCTCACTTCACTTAAGATCAAAAAATGTTATTCTCAAATTTGGTAGTAACTGAATCTGAAATGCTCAGGGAGAAAATGAGGCTTTAAAGCTACTGACCAGTCTGTTCAGAGTGGATGTTAACTTCTGCTGCAGTGAAAGGAGGTAGCCTAGGTGACCCAGGAGGAGCTCTCCAACCAAATAACTTTGGAAATTAATTTATATCTATAATGTCTTCCTGTAGGACTGTTGGAGGCATGTAAATGCCAAAAAGGGAGTTCTGCCAAAGCTGTGGATCATGCTTCGAGAAGGTGGACGAGGTTTAGCTACTGTTATATATCCCAATCTCTTGCCATTCATTAGCAAGGTACCCCCTGGCATTACGGAACCAAAGCTGGACTTCTATAGAGCTTTTTTTAGCTCTATAATTCAAGGGTACGAATCACATATTTTTGATTTTTAATTTAAGGCAGCATTTTTATTTATGCTTGGAAATAAAAGAATGCAAATTACTTAAAGCATTTAAAATATCTAGATATAATCCTATTGTTCTTGAGGGTATTTAAATACATGCAGCAGTAATTTATTTAATGAAAGGATGTTATTACCAGTCAGTATGAAAACAGTATGGCAACATAAGTATTTGAAGATTTTAGCTGCATCTCAGCTAAAACACCTTTCTTGCCTTAATCTCATTTTTAAATGTATACCTGACCCTTCAGATTCCTTTTTGATTGGTCTTCATATCCTCCCAGTCCAAAGAATTTCAGTCTAATTTCCTTTACCACTAGATGATATGACAATGGTTACATTTTTTTCTCCTTCTGTAAAAGTATTAAATCTCTTTTGCCCATGTGCAAGTGTAAACCTAATCGGCATTTTAGCTGTGAAGTTAGCCATATATCAAAACTCTAGTGGTTGTTTTTAAACGAATTTGAACTTGTATGCCTTGGTGCTCTCAGAATAAATTTACTTTAAAGTATCTCAGAAAATACACATACAATGATGGTTTTAACTTAATATTAATTCATTGATTTTTATTTGAAATTTACAAATAGATGTTTGTGGAGTAAAAATCTCTTTAAATGGCATTTAAAAATGGCTTAGTGAACTCAGTGTTTAGTATGGCTTTTTTAGTGTGTCTGCTGTTTTGTTTAAATGTTCTTTTTCATTTACAGAACTTGCAGAACTAGTTGTTCAATGCTGCTTTTTCCTAGAGCATGTGGGATTCTCTTACCCTGTGCAATTCTTGCAGTCTCTTACACTAGTAAGAACTTTCTCCTGCGAAACAAACTCTATATTCAGCAATTGCTTTCTATACGTATCTGCCCACTCTTTCTTTCTTCCTTCCTTAGTTCTTTGATCACTTGGCCCTTTTCTTTCATGCAAGACTGAACATACAAGGCTGAAGTTTAAAAATTGACTTCAGCTAAGTGTGTTTAGGACATCAGATTGAAATACAGTAAAAGCTTTGTTATCCGGCACCCACGGGGAATGGAGGGTGCCAGATAGCAAAATATACTGGATAACTGAATGGCCCGAACAGGCATCTTTGCCTGTTTGGGCCGCTGCCTGTCCTGCTGTGTCGGGTGTTGCCATCCCTTCTGTGGGCCCCAAGGGACAGGGAGTGGGACCCATGCAGCCTGCAATGCCCTTGGGGCTCAGCAGCGCAGGCTGCTTTCCCCCAGGCCGTGGGTGCTCCATGAAACCGGAAGTGCCACAGTGGGCACTTCTGGCTTCACTTTATCCTTACAAGCCAGCATGCTGGTTAACAGAGCATGCCAGCTTGTAAGGTGCTGGTTAACACAGCTTTTGCTGTATATAGTCAAGGCTGCATTTGGCTGGTAAGCCGTAAGTGGTTTTTTCCTCCTTGATTGCATAGTTATGAGTGAGTCAACTAGATTAAAAAAGTTGCATTTAAATGTCCAGAGTTCTAGTTTTGATGTCAGACACGTTTTTCTGAATTTCGGTTTTGAAGTAACTTTATCACCTCCCTCCTCCCCCACCCCATGAACAGCATGTGCAGTGTTGTATTAAATATGAAATAAAATTGTTGACCGGTGACTTTTTTTCAGTTCTCTTAATGTTATATTTATTTAGGTTGTCAAGTGAGCGAGCCATATCCAGCCAATCGGAATGTTCTGCAATCATCACTGCTTTTACGGAGTGTCTACGATATGCCATGCTACAGAGCATAGGTGAAGAAGATGAGCAAAAACAGATTCAAGAAATGCTTATATATGATCAGGTGTTTATTATGCAGATACTTGAAATATTTTTTGTTTTGGCCAAATTTAACTTTAAGAAAATGTTCAGTGAGAATTTATTCAATATCCTGTGGAGTTTAAGAAAAAGTAATGTGAATTTTGCTTCTAGATTCTTCCTTCCTATAAAACCAAACCCTCTATTGAAGCATGTATTTACTATTTGAAAAGAGCATTGCTATTAATAAAGTATAAATATAATAAGTATAATATAATGGATGTAAACAGCACTTACTTTTGTTTAATAGAAGAAGTTGGGTGGTTATGATGTCGTTCTAACCTTGTTCTCAGAATTGCTATTAGGTTGATGTTGTTTCTATAGCTGTTGAATACTGTGAAAATGTCTTGGGATTACTGAGCTCAGAATGATTATCCAGTTGGGTAAGTATTCAGTAACTAAAATCTTTCTTGTGTTTCTTTTTGTAGCTAATTCCTCTCATTGATGCTGTGTTTAAAGAAACCAGATTACAAAATGGTTCATTGTTTTACCAAATGGCAGACACGCTGAGCTCTTGGGAGATGAAGGCGGAAACTTTAAATGATGATGGCTCAGCTGAAGTTTTCCAGAGAGTATTGTTGAATTTTTGGGACAGTCTTTTAAAATTGTGTGTTCTCCATGTTGATATGGTGGTTGCTGATGAGAAATCTTTGGTTGCTATATCCTGCTTGTTACAAACTCTTCATAATCCAGAGAGCTCCAAAAAACCAAGCAAACGGAAAACTATAAAAATTAGATTTACAGATGAAGATGAATCTGAAAAGAACTCTGAGTGCAGGAAGCCTACTGAAGTGACAAGTAACAGTGAATCTGAAATTCTGGCTGACACGCCACACATTTCACTTTTAAGAAAACAGTCGTTAGAAGATTTGGTCTGTAGACTTGCTGAACTGAGTATTGTATACATCAATGAACAAACGTCTGATCAGCACTTAAAATTTCTCTCTGCTCTGCTTGGCTCCTTCTCTTCAAACAGAGTATTTCAGGTACTGTTAGAAGAAGAAAACGAAAATACCACTCAGGCGGTATCCCACGAAAACGTAAAACCACAGCACGAAAACCCATCCGTACAGTTTTTGCATCAGAAAGTAATAACTTGGTTAAAGGAAGACTGGAGGAAGGACACAGATTTTCTGGTTGATATTTTGTGTAGCATTCTGAATTGTTGTAACAGTAGTACAGAGAGAAAAAGTATTCTTGATGATTTGACTAAGGTATGTATTTTGTTTCATTTTCAAAGAATTTGTCCTAATGATTAACTGTGATAGAGCTAATTGCAATTTTTTAATTATAGCTGTTTCTTGGTTTGAACTGTGTCAGATTAATACATGTTTTGGATAAGTCTGACAAAGGGAAGTGCCCTTAGGAGAACTGCCGTTAGAATATTAGAAAATGGGTTATGACAAATGTGCATCTCAGACTTGATTTTATCTAGGAACAAAGAACTTAAGAGCAGTACATCATTTGAGTATATTATTTATCACATTCTTTATACAGCGTGGCACAACATTATTGACCTTTAGTCTTTTCATCACAGCCACTTCCCATTTTGACAGAGGCACACAGGGATCAGGAGAAAAATTGTAATGCCATACAGTTAGGCACCATAGCACTTAACATTCACAGAGTACTAATAATAATCTTTGATCATTACTCAAACTTGACAGTGTGCACCATCTTCAGAAATTAAAATTGGACAATAAGTAGTAAAAGTATTGTATAAGCATTCCAATCCCAGTGAAGTCTTATTAACTGTATCTCTTCATTTTTTTCCATTAGATGGATCTGAAATGGAACATCTTTCTTCAAATAATTCAAAAGGTATTTCTTTCAGGAATTGTTTTTGAATGCAGAATTTGGGATACTTTCCTTCTTTCAATTTTGAGAAGTTATGGTAAATGGCAGATTGGTCTAATTTTAAAATCTAGTAGTGTTTCTACCTAAAGTTAAGAGTACCATTTATTTCATTTTAATGGAGCATCTCTCAGGAGTTCTGGCTTGATGGCACTGGTATTTCTCTTGATCCACAGAGTATGCAGTCATTGTCCCCATCTAAGCTTTCTTCTTTCAGCCTGTCTCATTTCTGATCTAGCAGGACTTTTTGCCCATTCATATATTTGGATTTCAAGTGGTCAGGAGGAGGGGTATTAATACAATTGGTGATGGTTATTGTTATGTAAGTTCAACTCCTTTTGCTGTTTGTTCTCTACAAAACACCATCAACTTGTGCACGTGAGCTTTAGAAACTGAGATACTTAAATTGAGGCACTATTCAGAACCCCATGATGTGAAAACTATGAATCAAGTTATCCAATTTTTTAGGCATTTTCTATAGCTTTCTTTGTCATATTTCAGACATTAATACAATGCCTGGGAAGTAAGGCAGTATTATTATTCCTGTCTTTATACATGGGCAGGAGTGGAGGCACAGAATGTAAGTGACTTGCCTGAGGTGATAAGTATAGATTCTAGCACAGCTGGGATCATTTAGTTCACTGTTCAGTGCTTTAACCACAGTATTCACCTTAATTAATACCTCACATTTTAAAAATCTTTCCTGTTGTTTATCATTTTATTACTAAATTGGTCTATCACCTAGCAGAATAATTTTTTCTTTGTGTGTAATTTGCAGAGATGTGAGGCAAAATTTTTTCCAGTGCTTTATTTTTCTGTGGAAAATTTTCCATTACTAAAAATTCATTGCATCATAAAATTCATTAGTAATAATGAATGGATGCCAATACAATATTAGGCAAGCTTGCCAGTTTCAAAGCTGTAATTAATGTTTTTCTGGTGATTCTCCTTAGGAAGTGTGAGAGAGAGTACATGTATGTTTTATTGATTTGTAAACAGAAGGGTAAATATACTCACATAATAATCCAAACCAAAAATCAAGTTATGAATTCACCTAACTGGCTGTGCAGGTCAAATCAAAACCAAAGCATGGCATATCATGCATGGTTCTTTGGGTGTTGTAAAATTAATATCAATAGTTTTCAGTGCCTTCATTTTTTCTTAAATTTTAAACAAACAATGTAAGGGAAGTATATGCTTTTGTGTATTGTCTTTACATTTTTACAATTATTCCAATAAAAAAAAAACTTGCCACATAAAGCTTGAATTTGTTTGAATATAACATTTAAATCACATTAAGCATGCTGTACTTAATTTTTTCCTAATCAAATATTTCAGTTCAAATACTTGTGGCTATTGGGACATAAAATTAACACAGGGGTACATTTTTAGTTTACTAAATATAAGTCAAACCTGCTAAATCAGATCGCGCTCTATTTAGGGCATTGGAAATTTTTCTGGAAAACCCATGTCTCTTGTAATTTGGCATCTTAGGAAAAAAATCAGCATTTCTTCAGATAACTTGCAGTTTTTAATGTATAGGTATGGAGTATTATCTCTGAAGACTGCATAGTAATCCTGTGCCCTTAGAGTTACCATATTTTCCTCAAGTAAAGCATACACATTTTCCCCCAAAAACCAGCTGGGAGGAATGGGGTGCACATTATATGCGAGAAATACAGGTACCTACGGGTCTGGAAATGTGACAGTGGGGAGCAGTGGCAGAGTTAATTGCCACAGTTCTGGGTGTCATGGCAATTAACACTGTCACCACTCCCCTGCCACAAAATTTCTGGACCCATGGAGTCTTCCCCTTTCCCCCAGTCTTATGACATGACCCTGTGTCCTGGCCCAGTCTGGTGTACGGGGTCATTCCATGGCTGGACCCAGTGTGCGGGCTCAGACCTGGCTTCCTAGCTGCTACTACTCAGTACTGTACGTGTACTACAAGGTAAAAATTCTTTTTCTTCAAGCTGTCTTTTAACAACAGTGTGTGTTTTATATTCCAGGGCATGCCAAATATTAGAAAATGTGGTATTAACCTCAAAATAGTTACTTAGAGTTCTTTATTTTCCTTGTAATTTAGGCATGCTCAAGCTCAGTTAAACACTTGCTAGTCTGTGACTGGCTGAAAGGGGACATACTTGGAGAAAAGCTTGTAATGTTAGCAGATGATCTGTGCTATGTGGGATTAAAAACCACTGCAGCCTTGTCAGAATCATACTCTTCAGAAAAGTGGACGCTCTTGAGCTTGGTGTTGTCACAACATGTTAGGAATGGTGAGTCTATTTATCCTTTGGGGATTGGGTGAACTTCCTGAGGTTTTTCCAGAAATCCTATTTCTACTTTATACCTCCTCCTCTGTTTGCCAGAGCCAATTAATCACATCCTGTTAACTTCATCTACACTAACTGGGAGTGGTCAGTTAATATGCTTTCCCTTCCATCCCTCTGGTAGCAGAACCACCATTTATCTTCTTTCTGTAGGATTTCCAGCAATTGTATTTTTCTTCAGTGTGAAGAAGAAAATTTAGATTTAGTAATGGGTAATGCTGCAGAATAGGTATGTTGTGAAGATCATCAGTATTAGAGCTTATTGTTAGAGGTCCATGATAAATACTTATGAACAGTTGATACGTCCATGTTCTAGAATGGGTGGGTGTTCATTAGGGATACACCAATAAAGATTTTTAGGGACAATACTGATGGCCAGTTATTAACAAGCAATATTGGCCGATATTGATCTGATTGCTGATACGCAGCTTGGAGAGCAGCATCCGGCTGGTAAGTCTGTTGTGAGGGAAGGGGCATGGGGTACAGATCAAGGCCCCTGTGGTGAGGGAGGGAGTGGGGCTAGGGCTAGGGCAGGCACTGCCCAGCCAGGGTGGGGCAGGGAGTAGGATGGAGCCAGTGGCTCTTTCTGGTGGGAGGGCTGTACTTGGGGCTGGCAGCAGCGATGTTTGGAGGGAGGGGACTATAGCGAATTCTGGGGTGGCCACAGCCCATTTCCTCCCTCCTAGTGATGTAACCCCCTCCCTCCCAGTGTCACCACTGCCAGCCCCGAGTGCAGCCCTGGCCCAGCCCCACCCCTGCCGAGCAGCAGTCCGCCCTCGCCCTGCATACAGGTCCAGGTGGCACATGCCCCCCATGGCTCCCCTGGGGTGTGCATAGCAGTGGGATCTATCTCCCTCTTTCTGCATCCCCAGGATGCTGCAGCTGCATGCATGCATGTGGCATTTATCAGCGACTTTATCAGCCACATCAGCCAAAAAAGCTGATTGCCAATTATGTCAGTTTTCCTTTCATCAATGCTGATACGATATGGACCAGTGTATCGGTGCATCTCTAGTGTTCGTGAAACTCTCATATTTGCTATGCGGTCCCAGAGTCTTCTCTGGGAAATCTGCTCAGCTGGCTGCAGAAATTTAGCCAGCTTGAAAGCCCAAATGCTGCACTGCAGGGCTGATTGTTTGCCTTATTGGGAATGAGGGTTAGTGTAACAGATGGCTGTAGAAGGATGGTTGCTATAAACCATTTGTTTTATGCAAAGGTTGGTGCAAGAAGCTTCACCAAAAATGTGTTGTGTGCATTTCATTAGGCTGTTGCATAATGCCTAAAGTGAAGATACAGAAGCTTTACCATGTATAGAAATAAAGCTGTCTTTGCTTTGAATCAATTTGGTATTTGTGAATGAGACTCTTGAAAATATTGATTAGAGATATTGATTAGAGTTTGCTGAATTTCACATTATCCTACTTACCATGGAAGAACTGTAAAAATGTCTCATCTTTTTTTTTTCCCTTCACTCTTCCACCCCCTACCCTTCCATCCTCCCAGAGTTCTTGATTGGTGAAAGTTATGTTGAAAGGATTATTGATAATCTTCAAGCAGCTTTGTCTAAAGCTAGGGATCTTTCTGAAGCTGGAAATACTGAACCTTCGGTATCTTTCATCTGTGATGTAGCCTCCAGCTTTTTCAGTTCTGTTAAAGGGTGCTTGCTGATGCCATCCTCAGAAGACTTGTTATTCACTATTTTTCAGTTGTGTGCACAGAGCCAGGATACTACACACTTGCCAGGTAAGCAAAACAGAAATTTCATTTGCAAACCAAAATCTGACTTTGAAGCACACATTTCTATAATTGCATCTGTTGGTTAGAACTGAGGGTTGAATCTCAAGGCAATAGGAAAAAGAAAACTTTTTGAAAAAAAATATAGCACATTACTTTCATAATAGCCCTGTAAAACTAGATCAGTAGTTCACACCTGGTGGGACATGACCCCCAGGTGGTCATGTAAGATGGTTAGTTGGCAGGTGAGGGGAGCGTCTAAAGGAGCTTGAAAATTGTATTGCAGTCTAGAGAAGATCTTTGTAAAGCACATAGGGTCTGCTCTGCTCACCTGCTCCTTGTTCCAGCCTCCCTATCCCTCCAGTTTCTCCCCTGCCATGATTTTGTTGTATGTTGTTGGGGAGTGGGGAGTACTTTGACCAGTAGCAGTCTCGCAAGTAGCTTGGCCTTACCTGATCAGGCCAGTCACCCTACCTGAGCTTCTTGTCCAGCCATGCTCACAGAGTGCTCTCCCTTCCAAGCATTGCTCCTGCTGGTTTCTTAGGGCTTGTTAGGGCTTCAGCTATCATAGCCTATGCCCTCTTTTCCTTTCTGGCTGCGCCTTGCCTCGGTCCGCGGATTTGAGATCTCAGCTTCTGCGGGTATCGGCCTGGCCTTGACAGCAGTCCCTTCCCTCCTGGGGTTCTGTCTCCATATCATAGTTTCTGCCTCACAGATTGGAGCTGTCTCCTGGTCCCTAAAAGCAGGGTGCACCTCAGCACCCTTGCTCATGGCCTTCTCTACCCCTGTAGCCACAACCTGGTCCTTCAGTCACAAGTCCAAATTGAACAAAAAAAACCAGCTAGTTCAAAAAGAAATCCAGTAGTTTCCCTCCTTGGATAAATGCTGCCTGTAGGCCTTACCTGCTTAGGAGCCTTCCTCCCTGGCTTCTCTGGGCAGGCTAGGTGCCTGTCTGCCTCCAGGAGCACCCATGCTGCAAAACTTGGAGATTTGTAAGTCTCCTGGTATGGCCCCAGGCTGGGTTTAAATCCCCTAACCCAGTGTTCTCCTGGTCATCTGACTGGTGTCACTTCATCCAGTGACCACATATACAGCCTGCTGCTTATTAGTTGCTTGGTCTTATCTGTCCCAGGTTTGGCACACCTGCACTGATTTTTGTAACTGCCTACTCTATCAAGCTGTACTAGTAACAGGGACAGGGGTATGCTTGCCATACACCTCACAATTCAAGACCTATTATTTTCTGGAAACCTCAGTACCTCAAAGCACATAAAAAGCAATATTGTCCCTGGTTGAACTTATTGGAAACATGTTCTGCCCATGTCTAAAAAAATTAGCAATATTTTTTCTCCACAAAGTTTAGCATACATTACTCTTGCATGACAGCTTTAAGTTGGAGGGAGGTAGACTTCATCAGAGATGTGCCTTTTGCTATCCCTGTGAAAACCTGTTAAAATTTGGCCAAGCTATAAAACTTTTGCGTAGGGGAAGGGATGGGACAACCCACTGTTGACTTGCCAGAACTTTGCAGCTAAGTCCCTGAAGAGTCTAGACACACTAGGCATACTGCAATCCAGGATCAAGCAGGATTTATCTTGCACTTGAAGATCTAGGTTGCTACAAACTGGCTTTGTTCAAGACAATGGAACTGAAAACAGAAAATCTGGGCGTTAATTGGAGATGGAAACTAGAGGACTGGGACTGGAGTTGGGAGCCAGTGGGTAAGGGAGAGACTGGTCAGTTGAGTACCCAGTAGACAAGACTGGGACTGGGAACCAGCAGGCAGGGAGAAGATTGGTTGGGAAAAGTAACTGGGCTTGGTATGGGAAGCTTGAGAATTGGAAACTCTTTGTTCATAGGGGAGAAAAACAGAACTGGACTGAGGAGTTGGGGATGGGGAAAATCAGTGTCTTAGCAGGCATAGGGCAGAATGGGTCACGCCTGCAGGGAATGGGTAAAAAGGGTCTGTGAGCTTATAGCATGCATCTCTTCAACAGAACCCATGATCACTGAGTTTTGCCACTGCTCAATTGTCAGCAAATATCCTTTGGAATCACTGGTTAAATGGCTCATCTACTATAGTTCTAGTTTTATGTGAAGACTGAAAACCTAGTATGGCTAAGTTTGTGAAGGCCTGTGGTTACAGCCCCATTTGACTTGACAGGGCGCAAAGTTATTTGCTAAAAAGTATTGAAGATCACCTGTGATTTTTGTTCATATGCATTATCTCCAGTCTTTAGTTACATACTGTTTTTTCATAGAATTCCTGTCTCATTCTTTCCAGAGGATAGACCTGGGAATGAATTAGGTAGTAAAGACACTATGGTCTGTGATAGAATAAGAAAGAATTATGCTAGGGGTTGCAGAAAAAGAAAGGATGTACTCCTGGTTTATTGAACTTTGTATAGGACAGTGTTTCCCAACCAGTGTGCCGCAGCACAAAAGTGTGCTGTCAGAAATGAACAGGTGTGCTGTGGAATTTTGCCATAGCAGTGAGCTACAATAGATATGAGGATGGGGGGAATAACAGGTGTGCCATGGAAAATTTGTATTAATGTAAGTGTGCCTTGGGGCTGGAAAAGGTTGGGAAACACTGGTTTAGGAGAATTAGATTCTGTGTCTGTCTCAGTCACAGTTCTTAGGGGGCTCTGGACTATCCTAGGGGCAGGTCACTTAAAGCAGAGTTTTTCCTAGTGGTCATTAATTTAGGATTCTTCATTTCCTTGGTGACCGATTTCAGACCTTCAGGTCTGACTTAAAGCAGTGGCAAGTGCATTATTTTTGCTCAGAGGGGGATTTTTTTTTCTAAAGAGAGCTGTTTGATCAAGACAATCCCATTTCAAAAGTAACCGTTTAAAAGAGAAGCTTGTATACCCAGTGTGCCTAGCGCTATACAGCATGGAATTGAGCAGTTAAATTAAAATGGTCTGTTTTTTTTTGGGGGGGGGGGTTGTTTTCAGATTTGCTTGTGCGTAAATTAAAGCATACCTGGTTGTCTGGCATGAATTCACTTGTGCATCAGCTGGGCCTTCTGCAGAAACAGAGCACCTTCTTGCATAAATCTGCGTTGTGGGTCAAGAATCAAATTCAGTTTTCCCCTTTGGACATTAAAAGGTAAGTATTTGCAGTTTAGGTCTCTTCATATTTTAGTATTGTCCCAGAGAATCAAAATTGATATTTTCACTGCCTCCATCCTATGTTTTGTACTAAAAAATTAAGGTATTTGTTTTCTGTGCATGGGGAGAAGCAAGTGTGATCCAGAAGGCACATTTGAAAAGCCACGTACGCTGAAATGAAGTATGTTCTTGTTACCTGATAGCTTAGTTAACATTTTATTTTCCCTTTCTCAGCCTTGAGGTGTTGATTTCTGCAATACATGATTTGCTGACTAAGCTACTAGAAACTGGTCAACTTTCTGGTTATCTTGTGGGGGCATATATTGGATATATTACTCCAAACATCTCTGAATGGGAGAAGTTGAGAGAGTCTTTATCCACTGAGGTAAGAAAGTGACAGCATCTTGAAAGTCACTGCGCAGTGACATTGTTGTTATTGAATATTATATACTCCCTGGACTTCTTTATCTGCAGTAAATGACAGGCAGCCCCTGCTTAGTGCTGTTTCCTTATGGTTGTTTTACATTGATACCTGATTCCACTTAGCGCTCAATGAGTTTTGTTATAATGCTCATGGTCACCATCTTGATTTGTCAGAAACTTTTGGTTTCACTTAACCCTATTTCAGCTTCATGAGATCATCAGGTCCAGCCCCCCCTGCACTTATGTCTAATGTAAAGTTTTTCCTTATGTCTAATCTGAAGCAGTCTTGTAGCAATTTATGACCAATTGATGATTTGAGGTTTTTTTAATCTGACTACAAAAATCTAGCAAAACAGTGTTGCTAAATGCACAGAGCCAGCTAAAAAAATTAAATTACATGTATAGTAATCTCTTCTTTGGTAATAGATGCACAATTTTCAGACAGATGGGGTTTTTTTGAAGTTATGAACAGCTAGTAAAAAGTTTGTTGGCCATACAATTGAAATCTCACACACACACACACACACACACACACACACACACACAATTTCGACTGTGTGTAATATTCTAATATTATAAAAGCCTAAGTCTGTCTGTCTATCCGTAATGCTTTATTCGCACTCTGATTGGATGACGGAAACAGCCAACAAACTTACTAATGGCCAACAAATGTATTAATGTCACTTTAAGTAACATTTAAATTCAAAATTCCCCACAAAGTTAGAAAAATACTTAAAAATTTACTTTATATCTGTAACAATGGCACTTAAATATGGATGTCTCTTTCCCCCTATTCCTTATACAGTGGTTACACAGACCTCTTCTGGAAGGAAGACTGAGTATGAATCATGAACATTCAGGAGCAAATGTTAAACTATGTGATACGGTTAAGCTTCCAAGCCATCTGTGCACTGGAGCATTATTAAGTAAAATAGTCCTGTTTGTCCTGGAAAATGGGGTGGCTTTTGAAAATCATGATGTTGAAAGAAAGAAAATGGATGGTATAAGTAAGTAAAAATGGTAAAATGACAAGTGATTCATTAATATAGTAGCCATGTAAACCAAATTGTGTTAATAGTTTAAAGTTGCTGTTAAAGTTTTGGCTTATAACTGAAATCATTGTACTCTTAGCCAGTGTTGTTCTGCTCCTGTTTTAAATGTAGAAGTATCTTTAAAAACAGTGTCCATGTATCTAGAATATAATGGTTGTTTTTGTTTGTATTCCTGTAACCTCAAAAACCTCTTAGCTTACACTAACACAGTAAAAATTATTCTTTGCCAACAGACTGAAATACCGCATAAGTGCGAAACATTTAACAGGGAGTGTATCTGTGCTAGCAAATTGGTGCGCTTAGACTGTTAGGGATGAACTGGGAGAGACCTTGAGCAGTCATTTTTTCTTTTCTTAACTATTCTATCTGTCCTTCCCATTTGGCTTGCTTATTTTTAATTATGGAGCAACTTATTTTCCTATTCTTAGAAAAGACAAGGCAATTGACATATTTTTGCATATTATGAGATAGCAGTGGCTACTTTCAAAGTTCATTCTCTGTTGCTATGAAGAGAAATACAAAGCTGAATGTGGATTTTCATAGAGAAAATGAAGGAAAAGAGAGACAATAACTTAAGAGCTTGCTTCCAACTTCAGCCTTGGGCTGATATCCCAGATTGAGTATTCTCTAGGGGACATAAACATATAGTCATAAGAATTCTTGCCATACCTATTTTTAATAGTGCCTAAGCATCTAGATTTGTTAATAATAATAATTTATTTTAGCAATTGAATAAACTCAAAATATATAATAATTATATATTTATATAAAGTTATAATGTAATAGGCATCCAGCCTGTTCCTTTTAGTCCCTGATACTATGTACAAGGGTAAACACTTTTTATTATGATTTGCAAAGATCCATCAAAATATAAGCAGAGATTTCCCATTTATATAGTGCACATATTGAATAGATACTTTCACTGGTTTGATTAGTTGCAGAACTGCTGTACTCATTGCAGTGGATTGAAGAACTTGAGAATCCTCCTTGCCTGCTCCTTGAATTCCTTAATATGCTTCAAGTAATGAATATTACATATGAGAAGTTAAGTGCACTTAGTAATAAAATCAACCTTCTGCAAATATTATTTAACAGGTGGGTAGAAATTATGAAATACTTGAGATATAATACTTAATTCTGGCTTTGCCTTTGCATTATATAGTGCAGGACTGTCCAACTTCTGAGTGACCAATGGCTGCATGTGGTCTTCCCCCTAAACTGCACTGTACAGTGGACTCCCTGGCCTTGTGGGCTACCTGGCCTTCTTGGCCTCAGGGGCAGGGACAGGAAACAGAAGCTGGAGGAGGGATGGTGGGAAGTCTGAAGATTCCGGTGGCAGCAACACAGAACCAATGGCCGGGGGGGAGTGGTGCTTGGACTGGAAACCCAGGGCTCATCAGTTAAATTTGAGAGGGCTGCCAAATGGACAGCCTTAATATATTGTATTAACAGCTGTCACTTTATGGTGTGATTTTTCAATCTCTCTTCCTTCATCAGATCTTAACCTAGTGACCTGTGTTTGTGTAGGCATAAATTTAACAAGTTCTTATTTTCCCTTCTGCAGATCAAAAGAGAGTGGAAGACTTTGGTCCTTAACCATGGCTAAATTAATTAAGACAGACAGTATTGCAGCCTGTCAGATAAGAGATCTATATAAGACGACTGATGGGTAATATAATACTGGAGATTACTTTCTTTGTGGGGAAAACAGTGATAATGCTGTGTTGCAACTGGTCCTGATAAATGAAATATGTGTAATAGATGCATTTTAGAATTCATTCATATAGTGTAAAAGAGAAACCATTTTAATGTACATAATCACCCTAACAAGCAGAATACAAAACCATTCTGTTGAATCTATGATTCCTGTGAACTGATTTTCATTTTACTGATGATAAACCTAATTTTATTTCCAAATTTCATGAATGGTACCTTACTTCTGTGAACAGGTTTTTCCCATTAACTGAAGGCAACTTGCACTCAGTTCAGTCCCTGTCTCCATTTTTACTTGAGGATGAAAAGGAAGAACTTGTCATTCAGTGCACTGCTAAACTTATGGTATGCATGGAAACAGAGCTCTCCAGTACTGATGGTCAGTAACTTAACTCTGTGTTCTTCAGATAATAAAGACTAAAAATCCACACTAACTTCTTTGTAGTAATGCTTGCTATTTGATAAGGCAGGGGTGGATTATAAACAATATTCATAGAACTTAAGTTAGTATTTTTGTTTTAGTTATACAGACAATCCTTACTAGCTTATAAACATGTAGGTTCAACATATGATCAGTAAATAAAATGATACCTGAAAATAAAGTTTTAAGTATACATCCTATATAGAGAATTGGAAAGCAGAGGACTTAGACCCAGAGATTTAGCATTATTAATAAACATTTAAGACTTTTTAGAAACTGAATATAGAATATCCATAGAACATTTTCTTGGCTCTCCAGCTGAGCACTTTGAAATTGACATTGTAAACACTTGGGAAGCATGAACTTTAATTCTGGTTAAGTTGTAAACTGGTTAAGCATAGGTTTGAATCTTTCCATGCCCCAACTTCCCTCCCTCCCTCCCCTCCAGTCATCAACTCATGTATACCTGACTAGTTTACCCCTCGGTGAGTTTTTTAATTAACGTGTTCTGAGATTTCTTACTTCACTATGGGCGCATCTGCACATTCATTAATGCGCAGTAGTTACTGTAAATTTAGTTTAGTACTTAATTAAGTACTGACTAAATGCACAGTAGTGCCAGCAGAATTTTTTTTTTTTTGAAGCTTACTGCGCAGTAACCTAATAACACTGTACAGTAGCGTATTAGCATGGTTTTTGACCAGCCCACTACTTCGCAGTGTTATTAGGCTACTACACAGTAAACGTCTCATGTAGACATGTCCACTGAAGAATACATTTGGGCCGCTACAGCCTGGCCTGTGAAATTGAGTAGTGAACAGGGAAAGGGGTGCATAGATCTTACCTTGGCTGTGGAGATCATTGTATCACTTTGGTCTGTCCTCTGACCAGAGAATTGGTGCTTAACCTATTCTTGTGGGCTGAATCTCTCTTTTTGCTTCTGCTTTTCTAGACACTCCTGCACAGGGCAGTAGGCACCTCATCTGTTTTCCAGTAAACATGAGGCAAGCTATAGGTTATCCTCTGTATCTTAATTTACTTTCTGAATGAACTGGTAATGTTTTTGTAAACCCAAATGTATGAGGTATATACTCTCAACATGCATATACAGTGATGCATTTAATCATTCTGATTTTCTTGGTATTGTACTTGAAGAAACGTACTTGTTCTCCAGAAAGCATTAGATCCATGGAATTTTTGTCATCTTTTAAACTGGCAGTGGTTTTAAAGAGAGTAGAGCAGAAGTAAGATTTCATTGTTAAAATAAGCAGTGGGCTTTCATGAACAATGTTAATGCTGTCCACTGCATGCATTACTTTTCTAATTTCTGTATGCATTACTTTTCTAGTTTGTTATTAAATCTATAGGTTAACATACTACTTTGATTTTAAATCTGGTGTGAAACAAACATTTCATTTGGGAGCTTAGTACATCAGGCATCCAGCCTGCTGTGCTTATGCATTTTCTGTTCTTTTTTTTTTTTTTTTTACCCTTAACTATGTAAACTATGTTTACATGTTAACTACGTAAACTGAACATGGCATGATATATAATTTTCAGCATTTAATGGTATTCCTATGCTATAACATTGGAATAACTACTTAAAGAAATAAAGTTCAGAATAATGTACAAAATAACTTATTTTATGAAATACTGTTAAAGTTGAGTCAGAAGAGGTCGTAGACAGTGGATAGGTATTTCTGTTTTCTCTCTGCGGACTGTTTTGTCAATAGATGCACAGTTACTTTCATAAACATTAAGCGTGGCTTTTGGGATTTTCCATACTATAGGAGCATTTGGATTTCTTGCCATTTTAAACTCCTGCTTGACTAATGGGAACATTGATTGCCGAGGATTATTGTCTGGGATACTAAAAATAATGATAACTTGGAAAAATGATAATGAGGACATCTTCCTTTTTAGCTGGTAGGTAACTTTTGCTATGTGCTACATTTAAAAAAAAAAAAGAAGGAAAAAGCCAGTAGGGGGCAAAGGTTTTAAAAAAGAAGAGGAGAGGCAGCCATTGGGGTCTGGGCTCTCAAGGCTTCATTGAAGTCATAATATGTGCTTGCTGAGATACTGTCCCCTTAGTATCTCTACAGTTTGATTACCAAGCCTTTGTATGCTAGGTGAGAGACCTTAACTTCTAAGTATCTGAGCCCGATCTATAGCACCTGAATCAGAACTATTCAAGGAATTTGAAGTTAAGTACATGTATGCATTTTTGCAGGGTTTTGGTCTCAGGTACTTTAAACTGTTGTTTCTGTCCTGTAAAGTGTTGAGCCATTCAGCAGTTTCTCTTGGCTTCTTTGGGAGATGCAGACTACTTAGCACTTTTGAAGATTAGATCACTTAGGTACCAAAAAAAAGATTTAGCTACCTAAGTTTGCCCCTCATTTTTTAATATCTAACCAATGATGTAAGTGGCAGAGAATAAGTACCTTAATTCCTTGGAATTCATCCATCTTGGGTTTCCTCTCAGGAGCCACGTAATGACACCATGAAAGACTGGTAAAAGCCTTTAATTCCTGACTTGTTTGTCAAGTAGATAAACTAATGGGCAGTTGCTGTTGGTACCTGTGTAGTGACTAGTGTATTATGATGTGGAATTTGGGGGCCTAACTGCCCTCATTGGGCAACTGAGCTCTGTGTGTGTACCATTTGTGTGCTTTTGTAAAGTGAATCTGAAGCCCTATAAGTTCTTGTTGAAATGTTACTTGTGGAATATAGCAAACTGTAATTGCAAGTAATAAATTCATTGATTTGCATGAGGTCATCATTTGAATTGATAATTTGATGAGCAAAATTTTAAACCAGGGGATTGATTTAGAACGGCAGAACTGCTGGTCTGTCTGCTTACAGGTTGGTTTCTCCTATACCTGTTGTTCCACAGCTAGATGTGTTAGCTTCCTATGTGAATACCTCCTTTTTAATATACAAATAAAGGGGGGGAAAAAGCCCCAAGGGTTTTGGAAGCGCATAACATGCATTTAACCTAAGATGAGAGAGTAAGGCAAGAACAGTGATATTGTATTCCTCTATAGTATGAAGATAATTTTAAATTTTTGTTCTTTTGCTGTAGCAATCTGAAAAAATCAAGTCCTCTGCTGCTTGGTTTCAATATAGAGGTGATGCGTTACCTTCCTTTAGTGCTAAAACATTCCACAACTCCGTTGGCAGACAATGAATGGGACTTCATCCTGTGCTCCATGATGGCTTGGTTAGAGGTAAAACAACAAAAATCGTCGTTAACCTGCTATATGTAGGGATCTCTGTAAATCATGCCAGAAGTGCCCCCAAAGTAGCACTTTTGATGTTTTTCTTTTTGCCGCTTGCTCTCCCCGACCCTGATTGGCAGAGGGGCCCTGCTTTCCAAGCAGTTTGCTGCTGATCTCCGGGGAGCCAAAAACCACAGCATATTTAAAACCTCTGCTAATTGGCCAGGAGAAAGTGGCAAAATGAAAAACATTAAAGAAGCTGCTGCAGGAGGCACCTCTGGCACAGTTTACAGTGATCCCTTGCTATATGTCCTTCAGCAGTGATGTTTAACCACGGTGCTGCACAATATTAGCACTGCTAAGTGTGCAAACACTTACATAATTCACAAGATAAACCAAGAGATTTCAGATGGAAATCCTTGGTGTCAAAAACATTGTGACCTGTTGACAAATTTAAAATATTTTTGTAGTCATTATTTTTTATGCACTGTAATAAATAAGTTTTTGGAATAGGGTGTTCCTAAATTCAGACAAGTTATGAAGGAGTGCCTTGAGTCCAAAAAGGTTGACAACCACTGCTCTAAATATATTAATCCAGTGATACTCAATCTTTTTGGCCAGTGGGTGGGCTGGATTGGCAGTGCCCAAGCCCTCCACAGACTAGATATGGCTGATAGTCCTGACCTGCCATGGAGCGGTAGTGGCAGGGCCCCATCAGGCCACACAGAGGGGGCATCCTAGCTCCAACCTGGAGCAGGGGGGGCCATGGCCCAGCTCCAGCCAAGCTGCACAGGTGGAAACGGGCTTAACCCAGCCCTTTGAAGAGGAGGGGGCTTAAGCAGGTCCCACCCTGGCCCCACAGGGGAAGGGAGTGTGGCCCAGTCCCATCCAGCCCTGGGGAAGGGTTGTGGCTTGGACTCTTTTGTCATGGGATGTGGGGAGGAAGGGGCATGACCTGTCCCCAACCTATTGTGTGGAGCTTGGGGTTTTGGAATTTATCAGTGTGGGAGTGTAGCTGTATTAGCTTCGCTCCTCTGCTGCCAAATTTCCCAATATGTAGAAAGCTCTGTGGGCCAAATAGCTATGGCTCTGCAGGCTGCGTTTGGCCTACTGGCCAGAGATTGAGCACCCCTGTATTAATCTATGTCACTTTCTTTTCCTTGTACTTACAACAAAGAAGCAAAGAAATAGATATTTAAATTTTAATGCCTTCCTAACAGCAATTTTCATGCTTTCACACAAGTTATGTTTTACACAATAGATGTATGGAGGATGTTGCATCACCTGCCTTAGGAACTTATTTATGACTTTACATTTGCGTGTGTATGAGATGGAAGGCTGGATGTGAAGATGGTGGGTGACCTGGAGGGAGAGCAAGCAGGAAGGGGCAACAGAAGAGTTGTTCTCATATTTTCTGAGAAATCAGGGCAGTCGACTAGTTACCTCAGGTGCCTGTACAAGAATGCACAGGGCCTGGGAAACCAGCAGGAAGAATTTTAAATCCTTGAACAATCACAGAACTATGACATGATTGGAATAACAGAGACTTGGTGTGAGCTCGTATGACTGGAGCACTGTTGTGGATGGGTACAAACTGTTCAGGAAGGACAGGCAGGGGAGAAGAGGAGGGGTAGTTGCACTTTATGTAAAAAAAAAGCCATATGATTGCTCAGAAACTGGAGATAGGCCTGTTGAAAGTCTCTGGGTTAGGGCCAGAGGAGAGAGCAACAAGGGTGATGTAATGGTGGGGGTCTGCTATAGGCTACCAGACTAGGAGGAAGTGGCGGATGAGGCTTTCTTTAAGCAGCTAGTGAAAGTGTCCTTATCACAGGCTTGGTTTTGATGGGGGACTTCAATCACCCTGATATCTGCTGGGAGCACAATACAGCAGTGCAGGCAATCCAGGACATTTTTGGACAGTGTTGGGGACAACTTCCTGGTGCAGGTGTTGGAGAGGCCAATGATGGGCTGTGTTCTTTGTGACTTGCTGCTCACAAATAGGGAAGAATTGGTGGCGAATGTAGCAGTAGATGGCAACTTGTGTAGCAGTGACCACAAGATGATTGAGTTCAGGATTCTGAGGAAAGGCAGGATGGAGAGCAGCAGAGTAAGGACCCTGGACTTCAGAAAAGCAGACTCCAACTCACTCAGGAAACTGATGGGCACGATCCCTTGGGAAGCCAGTCTGACGGGGAGAGGAGGACAGGAGAGCAAAGAAGCCTTAATGAAAGTGCAGGAACAAACCGTCCTGATGTGCAGGAAGACTAGCAACTCTGGCAGAAGACCAGTTCGGCTTAGCAGGAACTCTTCAGTAATCTAAATTCCAAAAAGGAAGTTTATAACAAGTGGAAAGTTGGACAAACGACTAGGGAGGAGTATAAGAATATTGTTTGGGCATGCAGGGATGAAGGCAGTTGGAGTTGCAACTAGTTGAAGGCCAAAGTGCAGTTGGAGTTGCAGCTAGCAAGGGATGTGAAAGGTAACAAGAAGGGTTTCTATAAGTATGTCAGTACCAAGAGGAAGAACAGGGAAAGTGCAGGTTCCTTATTGAATGGGGGAGGTAGCCTAGTAACAGAGGATGCAGAAAAGACTGAATTGCTCAATGCCTTTTTCACCCTGGTCTTCACAGGAAAGGTCAGCTCCCGGACTACTGCACCAGACAGCACAGTTTGGGGAAGAGGTGAACAGCCAACAGTGACAAAAGAACAGGTTAGGGACTATTTAGAGAAGCTGGATGTGTACAAGTCTGGATGGGATGCAACCAAGGGTGCTGAGGGAGCTGGCTGAAGTGATTTTAGAGCCACTGACCATCATGTTTGAAAACTCATGGTGATCAGGAGAGGTCCCGGATGATTGGAAAAGGGCAAACACAGTGCCCATATTTAAGAAAGGGGAAAAAGGAGGATCCAGGGAAATATAGACTGGTCAGTCTCACCTGGGAAAATCATGGAGCAAGTCCTCAAAGAATCCATTTCTAAGCATTTGGAGGAAACGAAGGTGATTAGGAACAGATAGCATGGATTCACCAAGGGCAAGTCATGCCTGACCAACTTGATTGCCTTCTGTGATGAGATGACTGGTTTTGTGGATGTGAGACCTGTGGATGTGGTATACCTTGATTTTCTTAAGGCTTTTGATATGTTCTCCAACATTCTCGCAGGCAAGCTAAGGAAGTACAGGCTGGATGAACAGACTGCAAGGTAAATAGAAAACTAGTTGGAAGAGTACTGGGCTCAGAGGGTAGTAATCGATAGCTTGATGTCTGGTTGGCAGCTGGTATCAAGTGGAGTGCCCCAGGGGTCAGTCCGGGGGCTGGTTTTGTTCAATGTCTTCATCAACGACCTGGAAGGTGGCATAGAGTGTACACTCAGGAAGTTTGCAGAAAACACCGAGCTGGGGTGAGTAATAGATACGCTGGAGGGTAGGGCTGGGATTCAGAGTGACCTAGACAAATTGGAGAATTGGACCAAAAGAAATCTCATGAGGTTCAACAAGGACAAGTGCAAAGTCCTGCTCTTAGGATGGAACAACCCCATGCACTTGTACAGACTGGGGGCTGACTGGCTGGGCAGCAGCTCTGCAGAAAAGGACATAGGGGTTGCAGTGGACAATAAGCTGAATATGAGTCAACAGTGTGCCCTTGTTGCCAGGAAGGCTAACGGCAAACTGAGATGCACTGGTAGGTGTGTTGCCAGTAGGACAAGGGAAGTGATTATTCCCCTCTATTCTGCACTGGTGAGGCCACATCTGGAGTACTGTGTTCAGTTTTAGGCCGCCCGCTAAAGAAAGGATGTGGACAAATTGGAGAGAGTCCAGCAGAGGGTAGCAAAAATGGTTTGGGGGCTGGGGGACGTGACTTTTGAGGAGAGGCTGAGGGAACGGCTTCTTTAGTCTAGAGAAGATAAGACTGAGAGGGGATTTATTAACAGCCTTTAACTACTTGAAATGGGGTTCGAAACAGGATGGAGCTAGATAGTTCTCAGTGGTGGCAGATGACAGAATAAGGAGCAATGGTCGCATGTTGCAACAAGGGATGTTTAGGTAAGATATTAGAAAGAATTTTCTCGCTAGGAGGGTAGTAAAACACTGGAACAGGATACCCAGAGAGGTTGTACTCTCCAACCTTGAAGGTTTTTAAGACCCGGCTAGACCAAGCTTTGGCTGGAATGATCTAGTTGGGGATGGTCCTGCTTTGAGCAGGACCTTGGACTAGATGGCCTCCTTCCAACCCTAATTTTCTGTGATTCTGTTATAGGATTTTAAAGATAGTAGCATCTGTTTCTGTGGGTGGATGAATTTGGATAGGGACATAACCAGAAATGGAAGGAAAATTCATGAGCAGAAGAGATCAGTGCGTTGTGTGGGATTTGGATGTAAACAGTGTTTGAATATACATGGTATTTTGTTGCTTTGTAGAGTTATGTGAAATAAGATTAAATCAGGTGACTGTTGTTTGGGGTTGTGTTTTTCCTTTTTCAGTGCTTTAAAATGTAACTGTAAGGGCTAAGTGATACTCAATGTTATGAGTTGAAACCTGCTTTTAAAAAGAGCTCTTTAATGTCATATTTCAAATATATATATATTTTTAATGTGAACCAGGCAGACAAGGTTCTTTGGGTAAATCTGATATCTTTTATTAGACCAACTAAAATAGCTGAAAAAATGTGAACCAGTGCTCACAGTGAATCCCCATTTTGACCTGTATACATTGCTATCTGTCTAGGTTATATGCTTCTCAGGGCAGGAATCTTGTGATATTAGTCTTACAAAAGTTTAGCATTGTATAAATTAATTGCACAAGAAAATCTGTTTCCTGTCCCTTCCCCTCTGACTTTCTAGTGAGGGTAATGTACAACCTGAAAAATAAATTAATATTGCATATATCTGTAACAACTAGTTTGCAAGTCCCTCTGTTTAGAATAGGTTACCGTCTCCAGACTATAACAGGAATTCGAGATTTATGAAAAAGCATTAGTTCTTTGGAAAACAAACTGGAGAGTTCTTTTGAATTGGGGCTGTCATATTTTCCCTCAAACTCTGAGAGATATTATCCCAGAAAAGAAGGGGTTCCTAAAATTACACACACAAAATTGATTGAATGAAACTCAGTCTCTCTACATCAACCTCTAAAAGTGTTTATGAACCTAATACGAAGGGTGGGGTGGAGGTAGACTGAGTGATATGATGTTTATAAACCAAATTAAATAAAACTTGAAATGTTTAAGTTCTCTCTCAACCTGTCCTTTGTGTATATGCCCTCTCTTTTCTTTCTCTCCTCATTTTAAAGGATTTTCAGTACTTATGTTCTTTTTTTGGATCTGGGCAGAGAAAAATTAAGCAGCAGCATAGTTTTGGGGTAGAGAGTAGATTAAAATAAGTAAATGCCTCTTTAATTGTCTCTAGCCAAATGTAAGTCTATTTGTATTTTGAAAATGCTGGAGTGAATGAGTTGTCTAGGGTTTTCATGTTAGAAGGGAAGCAGTTGCTCTTTAAACTATGGTTTTTGGCCTACTTGGCAGCATAACAATTTAGGATTGCAGATGCATATGTTCCTATTTGAATCCACTTGGTGGCAGTTTAATCCTTTATTCTAACACAGATAAGAATTGGGCAGATTTATTTAATTTTTTATTGGGATACAGCAGAGCATTTTAATAACCTAGTGAGGTCAAATGTCAGGAACCTAAGATGAGGGGGAACCCAAATTTGTCTTGCTTTCTAGTTCTCTTCTATTGTGTTTTTGTAAAGAAATCTCTAATTAATTAACAAACTACAAATTGTTATATGTAACTCTGTATAGCTATAAGAAAAATAATTTGAGAAATCATTGCTATTATTTTCCAGACAACAAGTGAAAACCATTCACTTTATCAAGTTCCACTTGTGCAAATTTTTGCTTGTGTCAGCTGCGACTTGGCTTCGACCTTTAGCGCTTACTTCCAGGAAGCAACTCCTGAGGTTATGGAAAATCTACCGGTGAACCTGATTTCTGAATGGAAGGAATTCTTTTCTGAAGGCATTCACAACTTGCTTTTACCTTTATTGGTAAAAGTCACAGGTAAGTAAATGGCAAATGTCAGGGCGGGTAGTAGCTTGATATGAAAAATGACCCATTAAAGCAATCTAAAATAGCACATTGGGCATCCATCTTTTGATTTTACGCACACACTGTACTGTTTATGTCATTTACTAAAACCCTTGGTTTGATTCTTGTAAATGCATTATATGCTCAGTAATGAAAAAAAACACCTAATGGATGCATGATGACAGAATTCTCAGTCTTTAATATTAGGTAGTTTTGATATGTGGGAGTTCATATACCTGAATTATCTGTGATTAAGTTTGCTAACAACCATAACAAATGACTAAAAATGTAACTACTGTTTTTCTTGATTATGAACAGGAGAAAACAAACTTGCATCTGAAAAATCCTTTCAGAACTCCATACTGATGTCCTTGGGTGAAGCTCTGACATATATTTCAAAGGATCAGTTGTTGAGCCACAAGCTGCCAGCCAAATTTGTTGCTGGCCAGAAAACTAACCTCCCAGACAAACTCCAGACTTTGTTAAACACGTTATCTCCATTACTCCTCTTCCAAGCTAGGCCTGTACAAGTTGCTGTCTACCATATGTTATATAAGTAAGGAATCAATCAATGGGTTTTCCGTCATCTATTTTAAAACTGTAAAATATGTACATTTGGATACAACAAAGACTAGCAAAATAATTCTTCATTTGGGGAAAAATACTAACTGGTAATTTATGTGCATGTAGTGAACTCTGATACGTATTTAACCAGTGTAAATACAGAATAAATCTAGAAATTTAAACTCTTATGGTAACCTATAAGAACACGTAACTACTATAGAACATGAAAACCTAATTTGGTTTTCAGACAGAATTTTACTCATACTTAATAAAACACCAATATTCAGATAATATAAGGTTGCTCAAGTCTTAAATTTTAGATTCTGTTTTGAATCACATTTGAGACAAAAAATCTGTAGTAATTTCATGCTTTACTTCTGCTGACAGTAAATTTTTACTGGATAGTTTGAAACTAATCTCTGCCTCAGGTATTTGTCTTGGTATAGTGGGGAAAATACGTAAGATTCTTTAGAACAATCTGGAAAAAATTCATATCAAAATAACAATGCACTGAAATTTGAAATATGGTACATAACTGACTTACGTGTACCTCTGAAAAGGGAATGTAACCTGAATCAAATGATCCATGGGTTCCCTTGCTTCCTTTTGAGAGGACCACTTAGAGAGGCTTGTGAAATACAGAAGTAGGACTTTTGACTAAAAAAATATACATAATAATATAGACATAGTTCAGGAAAATATATATATTGCTTCAAGAGCACAGACCAACTGCAGAATTTTCCTCAGCCTGATGAAGAGTATTTATACCCGAAAGCTTGCAAAGAATTTTTCCAACTATTTGAGTTGGTCTAATAAAAGGTATGTTTTATCCAAAGAACCTGATCTGCCTGTGTGCGTGCACACACACACATATTTATATATATTAATATATTTATATATAATTATATATATTTATGTGTATACATGCACACTGATATATATTTTACTTAAAAGTCCTACTTCTATATAGTTTATACAAGATTGTGCCCTTTGCCATCTGAAATTTAGGCAGCCAGTTTTGAAAATGGGAACACACATCTTGTATGTACTGTTATCTTTGATAAATAAGTTAGTAGGTTATTGTTTATTAGAATATCTATCTTCATAGAAGTGAGAGAGAAATGTGAACACAACAAAAAATGAAATCTAATTCTTTATCTCTACTCAGGTTAATGCCTGAGTTGCCAACATTTGATGATGAAGATCTCAAATCATATGGTGAGGAAGAGGAAGAATCAACTTTGTAAGTTTTTTTTTCCTTGTGTTCTGTTATCTGTGGTGACACTGCACGACTTGAGTAGAGATCAGTTGTATAGCAGAGGCAATCATTTGTGTTAGCATTGGTATTAAAGGGAAACTCATGGTTGTGACTAACCAGGGCAGAAGCCATGCAAATATACAGTAGAACTGCTTAACGTTCTCTGTTTGCATTGGTATTGAGATCATATGTTTCAACTTATTTGGTACTGAAGTATTGCCACCAGAACTGGCTCTTATAAGCTCTGAGGAAGGAGAGAAGAGATCCATGACTGCACCTGTTAAAAACTCTTAATCATACTGCTCTGAACCAAAAAGCAAAGATAGTGTCTCTAATATAAAATCAATCAACTGAAGAATAAGTTATTGCTGTCAAGCCTCAGAGGTCAGAGTTTTTCTTTCCCTGTGTAATTCATTTTATGTAGTTCACCTGCCTGTGATTTGTGATATTCTATCACTAATTCGTATGCTTGTCAAACAGCCACAAGAGAGAGAGATGCATAACCTCCCCACCCCCTTATCCCTGAAACACTGAACTGTAAAACCATGAATTTGGCATGGGGACTCAGGGTTAGGAGTATGTCGGTATGTGTGATCTATTTAAAAGTGACCAGATTTTAATTTGGGGGTTATCTAGATCAATCCCTCCTGCTCAAGGTAGGCTTACCTCCATTTAAGTCATCCCAGCCAAGTGTTTATTTAACCTGCTCTTAAAAACTCTCGGTGATGGGGATTCCACAGCCTTTGTGTAATCTGTTCCAGTGCTTGACCACCCTCATAGTTAGAAAGGTCTTCCTAATGTCCAAGTCAAAATTTCCTTGAGGTAATTTTAAGACAGTTACTGTTTGTCTTGTCTGTCTTAGACACAGTGAATAGTCTAAACTCTATAAACAGTCACATGTGATGATCAGAAACCCCCCCCAAATTACCTGATATTTGAGAACAAATAGTACATGAGCTATGATGATGAAGCAGGGGTGGGCAATTATTTGGGCTGTGGGTTCACTTAGGGAGTTATGCTGAGCTGTCATGGGCCAGGTGAGCACCCCCCACTCCCTCCCTGCCTGCAGCAGCACACCCAAACTCCGAGTGGCTCTGCCCTGGGGCCCCACCCTGTGCTGCCACACCCCAGTGATCCTGGGGTCTTTATGGACACTGGACCAGGACCTGCACAGGCAGGGCATGTTTGGCCAGGTGGATAGAATGGGGCTGTGGCAGGCAAGGAGCAGTTTCTGGGAACGGGGTGGGCAGGTGGGGCCATGGCTGGGGCCAGGTTCACAGACCAGAATCATGAGGCAGTGACATTGTGGGGACAGGGCCTGTGGCAGGGCCACAATCTTCTCCTAGCATGCCCCTGCCTACAGAATAGGTGCCTGTTGCAGGGACTTGCGGGCAGTAGATCGTGGCTCTGCCCCTGCCCTGGCCCCAACCCTGTGCTGTCACTGCCCCGTGATCCCGGCCTCAGTTCTGCCCACCCGGACCGCTCCCAGATGCCGCTTCCCGCCTGCCCGCAGCCTCATTCCAGTCGCCTAGCCACATGCCCTGCCCGCATGGGTCCTGAACCAGTCTCCATGGAGAACGCAGACCACTCCATCCAGCACCCCTAGCACATGGGCCAGGGCTGGATCTGGCAGCAGCAGCAGCTGGAAAGAGCTTTTACTTTTGGAACAAAGAGCATATACTGGAACAAAGAGCATATACTTTTACTCTGGAAAGAGCATATACTTTTGAAACATTTCTTTTGAGATGGGGAAAGGGCTGTCCTATCTGCCCTTTGTCTCCAATGAATTAATCTTTTTTTATTGTCAGTGATTTTCCAGTAGTCTCAGTCTCCCATGCAGCCTGAAGTCTACCTTTGCAGTTCTTGATGAACCCATGTTCTTCTGCTCACCATCCAAGCAAACAGCCCACTGTCAAATTATGAATGTTTTCTAAAGTCCAAGAAATAAGGAGTAAAGCATTAGGAAAAAACAAATGTTTCCAGCCCTCAAGAAGTGTAGTAGTTGCCTTAGCACGTTTTCTGGGTGTCTAACACCAGGATATAAAATGATGAGAAAATAATGCTTTTAGTAAAAGTCAGTAAGATATCTAAGATATCTATAATAGTGACAGCTGAACAGAAAGCTCCAGCTTTAAATAATTGTTTCTAAAAAAGAAGGAATTTAATATCTGGGGTCCCAGCTATGCAGATTGGTACAGTTTCAAGGGTTAGGGTTCTCATATATTGTGTTTCCTTTTTTAATGCATTCATCTACAAAATGAAATAAAAACCAAGGCTCATTAAAATTTGGCTTGGAATTTTAAAAGGCTGCTTTGTTATTTGAAACATCAGATATAGTTAACTACAGCAGAGAAGCTACAAAACTTGATTAGGGCATTTTTTCCAATCTCATGTGGGAAATGGTCTATTTTACATGGCATTTCAGAAAACAGCTTCAACAGCAGGAAGGTAAGTATTAATTTCTGTCTTGCTAGTGTGAGTGGATTTGCTTTCTTTTGTGTTTATCTGTTGCCTTCAAAGTATGGGTCCTGCCTGAAACCAGTAACAATAAATTAAAACAACTCCAGGCCAGAATCATCCTTTCAAATCTCCACATGGCATTCAATTTCTTTGTTGAGCTCTTTCTGGAAGCAGCCCAGGGAATGTCTGCCTATTCAAGGGGACACCGCTGTTAAAGCTGAGAGTCCTGCTGCGCAGATTTGAAAAGTGAATTTTACTGTCATAAGTACATCAGCTTTCTGATGGACTAACATGCTTTGTGCTGAGGGGAGGCTAAGCAGACTAGGAAACAAGAAATCAGTTTTAATGAAGTTTTGTTTTCTCTCTCATCACCATGCCAAATGTCATTGTTCTTTAGATCACCACCTGCAGCTCTTATGTCTGTTCTTGCCACTCAAGAGCTCTTACTAGAAAGCATTCTAGAAAGTGTTCCGGTTGGAGAGTTTGCCATGGTTCAACCACTGAGTGATGAGTTCTGCCTTGTTTTAGGATATCTTCTCACATGGAAATTAGTATTAACTTTTTTCAAGGCAGCTTCTTCCCAGGTATGTATTTTACTGTTTCTTCTTCTTCCAGGGGGTTTCTCCACACCCTGATTTGGCTTAGATCAGGTTCCATATGATCCTGATGTTTCCATTTGAATATTTTCCTTCTCTTAAGTATGCTACGGCTTCCAACCTCCAGCTTGCATAAAACTAGGGGTACTCTTATTGGATCTCTATGTCTCTTAATACCCTGATAGAGATAACTACAGGTGTCTCCACTCCACAGAGGTGCATGGTCTCACTCTGTGCATCCAGCCCCACTTTTTCAGAAAGCAGAGTGCTCGGTATAGCAATAAAACACACATACTTGATATGACAGTGTGGAAAGCTACTAAAAGACTATTGAGTAATGCTGCTTAAAAAGTTAAAAAATAATAATAGTTTTTAAATAACTTGACCACTAAATCTTTGACCAGTTAGTTGGAGTCAGAACACTTTTCCTGATAGCTTGTATGTTCTGCCACACTAAATCATTCTTTGAGAATCATGTAGATATCTTTCTTAGGTACTTCCAGGGCACCCATGGCTTAATATCTTAGCATCTCACCCTCATTTATATATGTATCTTTGCAGCATCCTGTGAGTATGTTAGAACTTCCCTAAGAGATGGGGAAGTCCTATGTGCATTTCTCAGGTTGAGAAATGAGGCACAGAGAGGCTAACAGTCAAATTTTTGAAGGTGTTTAGGTGTCTAACTCGAGTTGATTTTCAGTGGAAGTCAAACACCTAAATACTCTTATAAATATGGACTGAAGTAACTTACCAAGGTCACATAGGAAGTCTGTGTGGGATGGCATATTTAATCAGTCTCCTAAGGACTTGGAAGATCCCTAACAAATGGACCATACATCTTCTGTTCTTAAACACTCCTAACTTTCTTAAACCTAGCTACTTTATATTATGGTTCATGTTTACTTCCTTTCTTTCTCTCATCAGCTGCGAGCTCTCTATTCACAATACCTTCGAAGAACTAAGAGTCTGAATAAACTGCTTTATCACCTGTTCAGGCTTATGCCAGAAAACCCAGTCTTTTCAGGCCCAGCTTCGGAGGTTCCAAATAAGGAAACTAAAACTTTTTTTACAGAAGAGGTTCATTTGGATGTCAAAGGTTAGTAAAATATGTATTTGATGTTTGTTCAAAGAGAGCAACTTCAGTCCTGGTAAGGTCAAAATATGATTCTTTGTGAACTAAAATAAAGATAACTCTTTGCCAGAATTTCTCCATCTTTAACTTCAGCATCATTGGATTGAGTTATTACTAGAAAAAAACTGATGGGAAAATCCTTAACACCAGTTTATCTTTGTAAATAATGGTGCCACATGTCTGCACATATTCAGGATTTAGACAGTGTAAAAAATGATGAAATATTAAAGCCTGAAGTGTCAAGTCTGCAGGCACACTTCTTAAGAAGGCGCTTTTTAGGTAGCTTATGCCCAATGGTTAGGCTGTTTTAAAAGAAAAAAAAACTATGGAAATAACCTCAAAATATTTGCATTTCATATTTACATTCACTTATCTGCAGTGTTTGGCTTGTAGTCAAAACATTGGAACGTTACGTTAGCATATGAAAATTGGAGAGTTAAATTGATGAAAATTGAAGTAGATAAATGTACAAAAAACTAAATTCAGTTTAAAATTATTTTGCCTAACTGTGTAAAGGGATATTAGTAACATAAAGATACATTTTCAAAATGATATTTAAAGTGATAATATTTATTATTGAGCATGGGGGAGATGGCACACCCCCCTGCTTATCTGCCATTCTGGCCACTTGCACCCTGTCCCCCTTCCTCCACATTTATCTCCGGCCTCAGCCCTAGCTGCTCAGAGCTGCTGCCTCTGCTTGGGCTGGGACCAGAGCTGGAGCTGGGGCCATTGACTGTCCTGGAAGGGGGGCAGAAAGTGGGGGGGGGGCAGGCACAGGTACAGAGGAGGCAAAAGGTGGGGGGGCAGGCAGCAGTAGAGACAGGCACAGGCAAGGGCCTACATTTTTTTTCCTGGCTTCTATTTTTATAACGGGATTTGATATTCCTGGAAGAGCCCTCAGGGTGCTAGAACCAAAGGAAAAATCTTCTTTGCAAGCTTTTGGGTACAAACAACCTTCTTCAGGCTAAGTATTGCAGATTTCCTCAGCCTGAAGAAGGGTGTTTGTACCCAAAAACTTGCAAAGATAATTTTTTAGGGGAGCACTGATACTGATAGCTAATTTTTAAGGAGGCATATCGGCTGATACCAATCTGATTTCTGATACCAGCCCAGCAGTTTGAAGAGCAGTATCCAGCTGGTAAGCCTGTTATGGTGGAAGGGGTGGGAGAAGAGAAAGTTGGGGTGGGGGGAGATCGATGCTCCTGTGGTGCGGGAGGGAGTGGGGCTGGGGCAGGCACTGCGCAGCTGGAGTGGGACGGGGCGCGGGACAGAGCTGCAAATGGCTCTTCCAGGGGGCGTGGCTCCTGCTGCTGGATGCACCCTAGGAAGGCATGGGGGGTTTGTGCACCCCGGATCTGCGAGAGGTAGGGTGCTGCAGCCACCCCAAAATTCACTGTAGCCCCCCCAACCCCACTGCCCTGCGCACAGCATGACCCAGCCCCTGCTGGGAAGAGCCCCACGCAGCCCCAACCCACCCTGCCCCGTGCAAATCAGGGGGCACTCCCTCCCCATGCCCTCCTGGACAAGTGGTGGGAGCCGCTGGACAAATGGTGGGAGCTGCTGCACCCCTCCCCCATGCTCCCTGGACAAGCCACGGATCCATCCCACATTCACCCTGCTCCAGCTGGGCAGTGCTTGCCCCAGCCCCACTCCCTCCTTCATGGTGGGGGCCTTGATCTGCCCCCCCCCGCCCCCCTCCTTCTCTTCCCTTCCCCTTCCATCATACCAGACTTACCAGCTGCAGGCAGCTCTCTAAGCTGCTGGGCTGAGCTCCTCACAGCCTATGTGCTGCACTGTGGCTGCGTGCATGCACAGGCCGTTTAGCAGCCCAATTATCGGCCATAACAGGCCAATTTCCAGTAGTCAATTTTCTTTATATCAGACTGATGTATCGGTGCACCTCTATAATTTTTCCAACTATTTTAGTTGATCTAATAAAAGATATCAGATTTACCCAGAGAACATTGTCTGCCTATGTCCTTAGACCAACAAGGCTACAACCTACACTACCCCAGAACCAAAGAAGGCATTTGGTCTTTTCAATAATACATTTGAATTAAAATGAGCTGGCAATACTTAGCCAATAGTCTGGCTAACATCCGTCTCTAACTACATTCTGCTTATGTAAAACAATAATAGACCAGTCAATAGAATCACTGTAGTTTTACATTTAATATTCTGCTGCAAACCAACTCTTACTGCATTGAAAGTTGTGGCATTAGTTTAACATACCATCTTATCGATGCTGTGTTTGAGTTTCTTTTAAATATGCTAATATTTCCTGCAAGTGCATACCCAGCAGATTTTTGCTAACAGTGTTTATAGTGGTCACATTTTTGCTTTATACATAAGAATCTTTTCTCAAATAACTCTTTATACCAAATTCATCACTGACTGCAAGCTCTCTGAAGGCTTATAGTCGAGTACATCACACTGGTGATCAACTCAAGCTTGTTTTATTTGTTCTTGCAACTTCTCTGTTTCCTTCCACTGTGGTGCAGTTTTTTTAGTTAACATTTGCATCTTGCCTGAATTTTTTTTTTCCCCCTGCTGATCTTCAGTCAAATTCTCTGTCAACTTTGTATAAAGTGTGTGGCAAAAACCTTGACATCTTCAATAAAGCAGAGCATATAGGTTCTGTCTAAAAATTTGCACCTATCTGTAGTAGCTTTTTTAGTCTTTTCAGCCTTGTCATGCAGCTGATCAAGAGTTGTAGTTTGCTTCAAAATATTTCTGTAGAATCCTAAAACAAAACTAGGGTTAAATATATGATGAAATAATCCACTTATCTTTTGAAATCACTTGCTGAACTTGGAGCAGCTTCAGAAGGGCTTTTAAATGCATCCCTTAAACATAAATATATTCAGTCATTTTGAAAGTCATGAAGGGGACATAAATGGTATGTGAACTTGAGCAGGCTTATTACTATTACAAACTTAATGGGAGGATTTCACGGAATACCGCTTTTTTTGTGTGTGAACGCCTTCCATGTTTGGCAGTATTACTTGATCATTTGAATGTATAATTTGTATATTCAGGTTGTCAAATGATTTCACCCTTAACATTGCAACGTATAGCTGGCCATGTCCAAACACAAGCTCTGGTATGTAAACATCTGTCAAGTGTTTGACCTTAGCCAAGCTGCTCTGATAAGAAATTGCCTCTTGCATATCTTAAAAGCTGTCTGATGGGTATAATGTGACTCTTGGCAAAAGAATGCATGTTCCAGTAGCCTTTCCTGTTATCCCTTCTAATTCCATAGTATTGTAGTCTTTTTAACTTAAGTCACACGTGCCAGTTTTCAGATTCATATTTTGCAACAGAATCCCACTTTACGTAGGGAGGCAAAAGGCTTAATGACAAAGGAGGCAAACGGCTTAATGACAAACTGTTGAGCAACTTAGAAACCCAGTCCCCTTGTTAACATGTTTACTATTTATGCTCAAGTATGTTCATTCTTCTCCAGTAATTCTGGCAATTATGCCCTCATTTATAGCATTATCATTGTTTATAGCATTTATAGTGCTCACTTTGGGGCAAAACTCACAGAATTTGTATTGCGGTGAATGGCATCCTCTAAAAGGCACTGCCATAGACCCACTTGGTTAAGCTGCCTTTTAAAACACAGCTTTCTGGCACTCTGATAAGATCAGAGCAATCTCCATAGGTAGGCAACAACCTGTGAAGTGGCTGTCAGTTTTCTTGATAGTGTCTTGCACACCACTGATGTCAGATACAGTGATGTTCGACATAGGTTGAAGCATGGATCTTGGAGAAACTGGTGATTTCTGGAAAGAATATCATTGGACAATTGTTATATCCACTAAAAGTGTACTAATAGTACCCTTATGTCTTACCTGCGTCTTCTGTTCGCCTTTTATTTGCACAACACGGTTCATTATGCATCCAGCTATTGTCTTCATTTTCATAATATTCAGCAACAGCTTGTCTGTTTTGCTGACTTTCATGGGAACCTGTTTAGCATTTACCATCCGCATGATGGTGAACATTCTGCTGGCATATTTTCTGGTTTTGGTTTTTCTCTTTTAGTATTTTATGCAAGAATAAAGATAGTATGCATTCAAAATGTTAGTATGTAGTTACTACTTACAGTTTAGAAATGGTGGTGCACCGATATATTGGTCCGTATCGTATCAGCACTGATGAAAGGAAAATTGACATTATCGGCAGTCAGCTTTTTTTAGCCAATTTGGCTGATAATGTTACTGATAAATGTGTGTAGCTGCAGCATGTGTGGGGCCAGGAATGCAGCCGGGTGAGGGAGGGAGTGGAGCTGGGGCAGCCAGGACAGGGCGCGGGGTGGAGCTGCGGGCGGCTCATTGGGGGTGCGGGGGGGTGGGCAGTGGTGGGGCTGGGAGGGGTGAAGATGGGGGGGGGAAATGGGGAATTTGGGGTGGCCATAGCCCCCCCCTCCCAGCACTGCTGCAAACCCACCTTGTCCCCACCTGCCCCAAGCCCAGCTCTGGCCCAGTCTCTGCTGGGAAGAGGCTGGGAGGCCCTGGCCCTGAGCACACAGTGGGCAGCCCACCCTCACCCTGCACACAAATCTAGGGGGCACATGTCCTCCATGCTTCCTCCAGGGGTGCATGCAGAGGCAGGACCCACCCCTCCCCCTTGCTCCGCCCTGGCTGGGCAGTGCCTGCCCTTGTCCCAGTCCTAGCTCTACTCCCTCCCTCACCTAATATAGCTAATATGGGGGCAGCTCTACAGGAAGCTATCCTTTGTTACCTATGTGATATTTAACAAAATGTGTTATTTTCCTCCCTCTCCTTCCCCGCCCTCTGCAGCAACAGGAGTACTGTCATCTCAGATTCCACACTTGGCCTGCTCTGTATATCACATAACACTGAAGGACTTGCCTGCTATGGTTAGACTTTGGTGGAACAGCTGCGAGAAACGTGTCTTCAATGTTGTAGATAAATTTACAAGCAAATATGTCAGCAATGTGCTTTCTTTACAAGAAATATCTTCTGTGCAGAGCAGCACGCAGTTATTTAATGGCATGACGGTTAGTAATGCCTTTGTCTCCTGGAAGTGTTATTTTCTTTATGGTTTATGACTAAGATCCTGGTTTTCTCCGATCAAAAAAAAATCCTGTTTTCAGGTTAAAAAATAACCCAAATCCACACTTTTCTGTGAACAAAATGAAACACCACTACATATTTATCTGTGTGTGTGTGTGTGTGTGTGTGTCTGCATTTATCTATTTATCTTATGTATTACTGGTGTTTCATTTTGATCATGGAAAAAAGTGGATTTTGGGTTCCTTTTTTTAACCTGAAAATTTGGGGGGGGGGATCAGAGAAAAGCAGGATCCCTGATTATGACTGCTGATACAGAAACTAAATTATATCAATGTTGTTGTTTCTAAACTAGCTACTCACTGCAAACGGAAGCTGTGTGCTATCATTTAGATGAGAATTATTGTTACCATCAGAGGAATCGAGTTATCTCAGGATAGTGTTTTACTGCTGTTGTGACTGGGCTGAAATCCTGACTACTAATGTCAAGAGTTTTGCCATTGATTTAATAGTATCCAGGATTTCACCCTAGGTCCTCATAAAGAGATGTCAGAAGACTTGATGTTGATTTCCAAAACTAGACTGTAATCCTGACAGCTGTTAAGAGGACTTCATTTCTATTACCCACATAATCAGTGATACTCTGATTTGATATTGGTGTGGCATATTATTTGTTTTACAGTGACGCACATCTTATACTCTGAAACTGTTAGTTCAAACGTAGCTATCAATCAGAAATTATTTTCAGAAGTTGTAGTTCTTGTGGGATATCCTGTGCCATTATGAACACACTAACTCCTGTCTGGTGTAACTTTTTAAACTACATCAGTGATTGATGGCAGGCTTCCAGTCTGATTGATTGGCTCATGCTGCTACTGTTTAGTTTGGCAAGACCACATATGGAGTTTTCCCTCTGTAATTAAAAGATTTCCTAATTCTTTATTTTACTGGTTCAAGTGTATAGGATAATAAAAAGTAAACAGTTGATGTAACATGTAAAAAAAAAAAAAAAAAAAAAAAATTGAGATGGTAAGTGTATACTTAACATTGGTAAAATCTCTTGAATGAAAATCTCCCGGTGAAGAATGTTTTAATTTCCAGATGCGTAATAGACAAAACCTGTCAAGTGTCTTGTGCTTGCATCCTACCCTGAATTTCATTATTATGCAAACCATACAGGTCTCATTTAGGTCAAAATTGGGGTTGTGTGGAAAATGAAAAATGCATTTCATGAAGTATTTTGAGGCTCAGAAATTATTTTACAAAACTGCCATGATTTTATATGATCTTAATTTTTCTACAGGTAAAAGCTCGGTCTGCCACACGAGAAGTCATTGCTACCTATTCAGTTGATGATATATTTATTGAGTTGATAATACAACTTCCACCAAATTACCCACTGGGCTCAATAACAGTTGAGAGTGGAAAGAGGGTTGGTGTGGCTGTTCAGCAGTGGCGAAACTGGATGCTACAATTAAGCACGTACCTCACTCACCAGGTAAATATTTGCGCAAAGCCCTTGGTTTTGAAAACTTCGGACATAGAGTGAGACCAAAAAGTGGAAAAACCTTAGTAGTGTAATAATAGAATATATTGATGCCTAGCCTGCAGTTACTACCATTGTCATCAACAGATGTCAGAAAGGTCTGCAAAGGTGGTCTGTGTTACTGACTGTTTTTAAAGGTGGGGAAGCTGAAACGCCTAGTAAAATTTATAAGCCTCAGGTCACCAAGAGTCAGGTATTTGTAGCTGGAAGCAGTACCTAGGTCTTACCATACCAGTATTCTCCCCATTAGACCACAGTACTCAGCCTATAGTGTAGAACAAGAACTCCTGAATAGTGCTATATTACAGACTTAAGGATATTCTATAAATTTGACATGGTTGTTACAAAAGTCACTTAACACTTGTGGTTATAAGTAACAGAACGGTAAATTCAAGTCACAGCTTTATATGTGCTCTTTAAATGGAAACAGATGTTCTTAGCAAGGATCTACTGAAGCTGTAGAATATATGGACTAAGCTTGATAGTAGGTCAATAAGTTATATGCATATAAAATTGTACATGTTTATTCCGTCTTCATAAATGATGTGTCACTTTAAATTTATAAATGTTTCAGGGAAGGTCCACATTTGTACAGGGCTTCGTATAATGCGGCCCTAATCAGAAATGGCCTCAACCAGATGCTGTGACAATAGAAATAAAAGGATGTTCTAAATCATTACTGGAATTGATTACTGTTGTAACTTCCTCTCTGATAGAACGGAAGCATCATGGAAGGTTTGGCTTTGTGGAAAAACAATGTGGACAAACGTTTTGAGGGTGTTGAAGACTGCATGATCTGTTTCTCAGTTATTCATGGTTCCAACTATTCTCTTCCCAAAAAAGCCTGCAGAACATGCAAGAAAAAATTCCATTCGGCCTGTTTGGTAAGTGACTATTATGGATCTTGTGTAAAAAAGTAAGTTTTTTGCTTAAACATAGAACCTGTTTGAGATTGAAGTATGTAAATCATAAGATTGAAAACACAGTAACCATAAATGACAGTACAGGTTGATGTCCAAATACAAGGGGAAATTACTACTGTTTCAAAGATGATAGCTCTTATGTTGGTTCTCTGATTTCTTAAAATGAGGCTGCATAATAGAACTTTGGGTGGTGGATTTAAGGAACAATGGCTTTTTTTTATGAATTTCACTTTACCATTTTTAGTTCTTGAAAAATAAGTTGCTTTTGCAGTGTTTGAGCAAATCTTTACTAGGTACAGTTGGTGTTTGATAGCTCACCAATGAATACTGCTATATTACACTAAACGTAACATTTTACAAGTAGGAAACAGAACCCATTGAAGTTCAATGCATTGTTTAAATTTACCATGTTAATGTTTTAATTGTTCCTATTTCTGTTGCAGTACAAATGGTTCACATCTAGCAACAAATCCACCTGCCCGCTTTGTCGAGAGACCTTTTTTTGAAATGCAGCACTGTCTTCAGTGGTTGACCAAAGTAGTAAATGAGAAGGCAGTTGGATCAAGAACTGTATGTTGAAGGAAGCTAACAAGCTTTTTGAAAATACTCTCTTAAATTGTTTGGCGAATAGAATGATCCACATTTACCTCTGGACTGTTTTTGTAAAGCAATTGAAAATACTCCTTAGATTGTAAAACATAAGACTAATTTATTTTAACTTGTATATTTTTAAAAGGTTAAAATATTAAAAAAAATACATATCTGACTTGAACACTAAGGATTGTGCTGAAGTGCTGTTCAGTTGTAGCTTAGTTAAATCTACAGTTTTAAGAACAATCTTACATACTGGTATGCTCTTAAGTAAGATGGTGCCTCTTAATTTACAAGTTACCTTATTCTTAAATAGTGTGGCAATCTGAATTTTTGGTAGCAGTAAAATTCATTTTATAAATGCAACTCATGACTGTGTGGGTGCAGCTGCTGCTACATTACAGTGAAAGTATGGGATAAAAACATCATTGATGATTTCATGGTAAAGCATGATCTGAAACGCAGTGTAATCTAACCCCTCTATAAATTTCCCTTTGAAAGAATATTTTGACTTTTGGTAGTTGTTGATGTCTCAAAAAGAGGAAAGGAAGCCAAGTTTACTAGGAAAAGTCCATAAAGAACCCCCACATGACTATCGCATTTTAGTGGACTGGCAACTGTGGGGTTTTTTGTGTTTTTTTTTTCAAGTGAAGAGGAAGGATGCCTGCCAACTGTTGTGCTCTCATTTGCAGATTGCTTTGTCGACACCTGGTAGTCACTTACTGTTGATGAAGTATTATTATCTACTGACATTCTCCAATAATTACAAGAATTAGTTTTGTAACTAAGTTTAATAAATTTATCAAATTTAAAAAACTGTCCACATTTCACAATTTCTTTCACTCATGAGTTGGTTAGCTACATCATGCATTTTAACCTTGAAGTTATGCTGCTTGTGCTCGCTTTCCAAAGTCACACCAGTTAAAGGGAGAAGATCTATCAGTCTTTCTAAGCCATGGGGGGGGACTGTCTTTGTTCAATGAGTTTTATGAAATGAACGGCCTGAATTTAATCTGACTAGTGCCTGATGTACTCAAATATTGACATGCCTTGAAAAGGCCTCATTTTCAGAGGATAGGGTACTCTGCATTTTTTTTTTGAAAGTCGGATCCTTTTAACGTGTCAAGTGGAGTACCCATGATCACTTTCAGCTCTGAAAAATTTAGGCTTGTGTACCTTGGAGAAGCAAGAGGACCAGCATTGAGAGCAATAGGCAGCAAGTGGAGAACTTTTTCTTATCTCATAGTGAAAAGAGAAAAGCTAGTAAACTACAACTTCTGTTAAATTACCCATTTTTAAAAAAAATCTTAGGGTTAAGAATTTGTAACCCTGCATCTAATAAATTTTGAGAGCCTTCTCATTTTGTTATAGCAATTTGTTAAACCAGTCATTTATTACTCCAGCTTGTTTCTGATAACAGACTGAAGTCCATTATAAAACAGCTGGAGATCACCATTTTATTCAGTCTCTGGGCATGTCTACACAAGATGCTATGTCACTGTAGTGATGAGCTGTCACTACAGCGATGTAGCACTGGCAGGCACTAATTATGATGCTACCACTACTGTGCAGTAGCAAAGAGCTCAAGGAGGGTCAAAAATGACCCGCAGTCCGCTGGGACATAGTCATTTAGCAAGTACTAAATGTGTAGTACAACTGTAGATGTGTTGCCCATCTTGCGAATCTTCTACCATTCTGCTTTGAATGACTGGCTAAAGGATGGAAACCTGGCCTATAGCAGTGGGTTCATTTCAAATATTTGGATATGGCCCCTCTTCTTCCTAGCCCAAAAGCAGACTAATTGAAGATCACAGTATAAATTTTACTGTCTTGGTCTTCTAATCAGTGCAACCTGTACCTCAAGAGTAACATCCTCTCCCAATTGAAATTGGTAGCAACCCCCCCCCCACCCCCCACCCAACAACAAACCCCCCCCCCCCCCCAAAAAAAAAAAAACAAAAAACCACTGAGTTTAACAAGGCCAGGGTTTCACATCATATACTAGCTTGTAAGTAGCTAGAGTAATGCATAATTTCATGTTTTACTACATATTTTATATTCAGAAAACTTGAAGATAAAGCTAACTAGTTGCATTACCACTCCTAGTCCTATTACATAAAATAGCACTTAAGTTTAGGAATTCTAATTCCATTTCATCAAAATAGCTTAGGGTATGAGAACAGTCTTGGCTCCATGTTGAACTTGGTCAATTACTGCTGTAACAATATGTTAGAGCACTAAGATTGTGTTGCTGTTAAGTATCTGACCAACAGCCACCTGTCCTTTTGATGTGAAATGGCTAGCTGAAAGCGGTACAGATTTAAGGGTTGGTTTGGGTTTTTTTTTTAGCTTCAAAGATAAACCAGCCCTCCCTGATAACCAAGTTGAAGTTCTGTTCTACACCAGTGTATATTATAATTTTATGATGGGTATTCATGGTTAGTGAAAAGCCAGATTCTGCAAAGAAAAAAAACACAAAACCCTCACATGAAAGAGACCCTTTAGACTACAACTTGGTCCTGATAAGCTGCAGGAACTTAACAGTCCCTGATGAATTTTGGTAGCAAGAGAATCTTGGCATTTTTTCTATGGTTTGCTAAGCAAGGAAATACAGAAGTTATACCTGCTGCTAAGCACGGCATTGCAATTACTTATGATGTAGCAGGTCAAACATATTTGGTTTATACATGCTGCCTTCAAGTAGTGGCCAGCTTTCTGTTAGGTAGAAAACAGATGGTAGTGAAACTGCTCTCATCAGTTTTGCTGCAAATGGGCATTAACTATCAATTTCCACAGCCCAACTTCTCCCACAGGTTTGAGAAGCATTCCTACGGCAGTTGAGTGGTGGCAGCTGATGGCCATGCCTTTTCTCTAACTGGCCACCTAATTTCCTGTCTCTAACCACAATTTACCAGTAGCTCATTTTGCTCCTCATGGGTGTTTTTGCCAAGTTTTTTTTTCTTTCTAGTGGTAGTGAGCAATCTCCTTTCTTCCTCCTCCCCCACCTCCAGATCAGGTATTAAAAGGAACGTTGGTTTCAACCAGTTCTAGAGAGCCATCCTGCCATGATGCTTCTACTTCTCAGACATGGCAGATTGTCCCCCATAGGCTGAACTAGATAAATCTAAAGGAGAAACTCCCAGTTTGAGGCAGCATGTACAGACTTCACATGAGAAGAATTCTACTTTGCCTGTTCTGTGCCAGGAAACAGGGATCAATGTCAGATAGACATGTTGACACCCTTACCTCACAGATGAAGCTATCCTGTCTACAGTCTGGTTTTGCAAGAGCCACACTGTCCTATTTGGACAACATTAATACAAGGGAAAAACAAAGGACCTTTGTGGCTTCTGATCTAGCCTCAGAAAAAGTCTTTGTGGCAGATCCTCAGGGGCTGCTCAAGGATTCCAAGCAGTCAAATGCCCAGAATATTAAGACTGACAAACATTTGGCTTGGGAAGGAAAACAAAGAGGGGAGCAATATTACAATGGAGTCTCTGAACAAAAAAAATTCTCTTATGCACACATGTGCACAGCCTGGAAAAACTGCAACAGCCAAAAAGCTTTTTTGTAGCAAAGGTGGCAGAGAAATAAGAGCAAATTCAGGAGGAAGATCGGGCAAAACTATGAGTTCACCTGTAGTAATGTGAAAATGTCTCCACCTGGATCAGAATCTAAGGTAGAATAGTCCATTTCAAGGGAATGGTCTCTCAGGCATATACAAATAGATGAGAGGGGTAATGATTTGTGGCTCCCTCCCTTGAGGTAAATGCTGTGTCCTATCGCTTCTTCACCTGTCTTCATTTCAATTAAATGTTATATGAAATCTCACTGCACCTGGACACAAGATCATAAAGGGTGTTTTAGAAGAGAGTTTCTTAAGATTATACTTAGCTTTAGCCTGAACATACATGGGGAAGGAGGTCACTGTCTCTCTAGAACCCACCAACTTAATAAATAGTTGAAGAAAGTGAAAATGCAGACTCTTGTGAATGGACGTACCCAATGAGATTCTCTCACTTCACAGGATCCATGAGATAGATATCTACACTCCCATACATCCAAGCCATCATTACTTAACTGAGATTTATTTGGCCCAAACCAGTACCACTAAAAAAACTGGTGTTTTACATTATGGGACACTAATCTGGCTTTCTCCCTGCACATCATCCTATACGTTGCTAAATGATGGATGCTACTAAACCAATTTTATTTAAGGTTTTAATCCATACCATAAAGAACTACTAAGGTTCTTGAAATACTTTGAACTAAACCTTACTTCTTATAAAAGTAAATGTAGTTACTAGTTATAGGCTGTTCTCACACACACACACACACACACACACACACACACACACACACACACACACACACTAAACAAATGCACTTTACTGGAAGCAGCAGCACATTACTTCAACCCGGCTCTGCAGCATCCATAAAAATTGGATGCTTCAGCAAGGCTTTTTGCCACTTTTAGTTAAAGCTGATTCAATCAGCTATTAGTTAAAAGCACCAAAAAAGCCCCACTAATCAGCCTGATCTTTACAGACGTTGGGCGAGTCGGGTTGAAGTAATGCGCACTGCCTCTTCTGGGCATGTGCAGGGCTCAGTGCAGGAACACGTCGATTTTAAGGTAAAGTACAGGTGTGGGGGTTTTTAAAAATTTTTAAGTCTGCAAGGACCCATCGAGAATCTGTATAATTGATCGAAATGGACTGAAATTAGCTTCTTACATTGTTGATTTACCCAGGGTATTCAGCTAAAACCCTGATAGACACCAAGTTCTGACGTTTGTTAACTGTAACTGGATATTTACAGTAGAGTAGCAAGGTACGATCAAGTTTTGCCCATTATGGCGGCAAGATTAATATCTGGTTACTAGATTTCAAGAGACTGCCAAAAATGCAGAAAATGTGCTTGAGACAAGACAACTGGAGAAGATCAGTGGCTTGACAAAACATTGATTTAACCAAAGCTTTTGGTAAGGAATAATTATCATAAGACAAAGCAGTAACAAGATTTTTGTTTTAACTGAATGACAAAAATATACACCAGTTCACTTAATTTTCCAATTATAAAACAAAGTAAATAATAGCCAAATTTTAGATGTAAATACCCACCTTTAAAGTGCATCTTTCAGCTCTTCTACCACACTACATATAAGACCAAAGCCCAGAAACAACTGCCTTCTTATGGACTGCTAGTCACAGTATGCTGACACCGTCACAGTGCAGGAACAATGACAACCTTGATTAATTTGCCTATAGTGCTCAAGAGATGACAAGATTTTTTTTTCTAAGGAGGTAGGTTGAGTTTTGGTTCAGACACAAAATAGCTTGACATAGAGAAAAATTAACCACATATGGTTTAACAATCTCCAGCATACAGAAGGTTAGGAGCAGCCATCAAGATTTGCTGAATTTGAGAATTGTGAGCATTTCTTTTCCTGCTCGTCTGGAAAGTACTTTAGCACCCCTTAAACCACACTGTTTCATGATTTCCAAAATTTCATCTGTAATGAAAAATATATAAAATTAAAATTCAGTTTAAGTGTTAAATTACAGCTAAAACAAGCCTATTCTGCCTTAAACTACTGGCTAAAACCAAAGCAAAACTTCAGTGTTACAAAACATCTACCATGATCCTTTAAATGATTAGATCAGTGGTTCTCAAACTTCTGTTTTTCCCTGCAAACCACTTGAAAATTGCTGAGGGTCTCAGCAGACCACTTAATAAACTTTTTTTTGTTCTACAAATCAAAGCGCACAACTCACATTTTAATATCAGTAGTCTTACCTTACAAGCATAAATATTCTTGATTGTTCCGCAACCATTCTGCGGACCACCTGAATGGAGCTCACAGACCAGTTCTGGTCCATGGACCACAGTTTGAGACCCTCTGGATTAGAGCAAAGTAAACCATCCAACAGTAATGAATAAGTTAGCTTTCTAGTATTGGACATCAAGATTTTCATACCTGTCTAACAATGTAAAAAAGCAGCGACTTTACTATAAAGCTTAACTTAAAATATACTCAATGTTCCTGACTCAAACTTAAGTGCTTAATTGTTTTTAATAATCTGTATACACCACTGTGAGTTAAGTTCAGTTAGCGTCTGTAACTTTATAGTTCAGTATGAATCATTATACTATGTAAGATATTATCTTAACAAACTGCTTCAATTGAAAATATTTCACCAGATCACTCAGGTTTCAAGCACTATTTTTGAACAGTCTTATGAAACACAGCTGTAAACCTCATGTTTGCCCTATGAAAATGTCCAAACATGGAAGTTCCTTTTGTAGCTTTTGTTTTATTTTAGCAGAGACAGCCGACGGTGCTGTAATGATGACAGTGTTTTTCTTATGCTTACTATGTTGTTCAACACTTAGCTCTTGCAAAATAAATCTTTCGGTTTAGCCCCAGTGTAAGGCCAGCTTCAAGTGACCTTATAAGTACCTAAACAGGACTTGGACAGAACGAGGTACCTAAGTCACAACGAGCTATCCAAATAGACCCTGCTCAGTGGATACAAAGCTGCTTAGGTACTGAGTTGCGTTAGGCATTTCCATTTTGGTCATGAAAGATCCATCCAGCCTGGAGTTAGCTGTTTACTTATGTTAAAGCAGCAGGACTTAGGCCCCACCCCATTCCTGGCATTTCCTTCTGACTACTTTAGACAGATTCTTAGTCACTTTGGGCACCTGTATGTATGCGACACAGTGCTGGGCACTTTTTAAAGTGCCTGGCGTGCTGCAGGGGTGTAGTTTGTAGCCGTGTTGGTCTAAGGACATACGCAGACAAGGTTTCTTGGGTGAATTTGATATCTTTTATTAGACCAACCCAAATAGTTGGAGAATAGTTATTAAGCAAGCTTTGGGTTCAAAAACCCTTTGTCAGGCTAAGGGAGTTTCAGCAGTTGGTGTGTGCTCTTCCTGGATGGAACGAAAAGTAAAGAAGCCAGAGGCTGAGCTGGGGAGTCAGTTGTCAGGCAGATTATAATGTGTAATAAATCCAATGTCTATATTTAGTCCATGATCTCTAGTATCCAGGAGGTTGATGAAATGGAGTTCATATGCTCATCTCTGGGAAGTGTGTAAGTTTCCCTTGAGGATCAGGACTGAGAGATTGGCCCTCCTGTGAGAAATGTGCCCCCACTGGTAATTGGGTATTTCTGTCTTTGATAGATTTCCGGTGTGCATTCATTCTGGTGCGCAGTTGTTGTTTGGTCTCTCCTACATATTTTCCATCAGGGCATTTGGTGCATTGGATGAGGTATATTACATTTCTGGAGGTGCAGCTGTAAGATCCTGGGATGCTGATGGCTCTGCTGCGGGGTGTAGTAATACTGGGGGTGGTGGAGATGTGTTGGCAGGTTTTGCATTTCTTGTCCTGGCACGGTCTGGATCCTTTTGGTGTGTTCTGGGCTTGAGGAAGTTTGGTTCTGGTGATGAGGTTGGCGAGGTTCGGTGTTTGTTTGAAGACTAGGATGGGTGGCTCTGGGAAGATCTTTTTAAGAATAGGGTCTCTTTCTAGTATGGGTTGCAGTTGTTTGAGGATTTTTCGTACAGGTTCAAGGGAGGGGTGATATGTCATAACCAGTGGTGTGCGATTTGTCGGGGGGGTTCTGTACTGCAGCAGTTCTTCACGTGGTGTGCTGCAGCGCATTCATTTGTATAAGTGGTGAAATGCATATCAGTGCTGAGAAAATGGCAGTGGCACGCTTGTGAGCTAAAGCATACCAAAGGTGTTTTAGTTCAAAAGTGCACCGTTGCCATTTTTGTGTGCTAATATGCATTTTGCCATTTATACAAATGTATGCGACGCAGGGCCGGGCACATCAGCTTGCATCTCGCTCCAATGCATTGGATTTCCAGCAGACAAAGGTACGTCTATAAATGCCCTTTGCTGCTTTCTGCGAAATCCATTCTTGGGTACCTAACTCTTCTCATGGACTGTATGAGGAGCCTGCACACTCTGATGCAATGTCAGGCATTTTCATTTGGGCAGACTTTTAGCAGGCTGGGTTGAGTTTTGGGGTATTTAGTTTTATTACATACTCTCTTATTTTGTTAATTGACGGTGGCAATAAGTTTTTTGGGAAGACTAGAATATAAATCAAATGAATGATTTAGGCCCGAGGATCCCATTGGAGAGCAAGGTATCTAAAATTTTCTTCGGAGATTTAGCTCATGCTAGTTTCAAGAAAGACAAAACGCTTTAAAAAGATAGACATCTTTGATAAAGGGTGCCACAAATACATGCTAGTCTGTATTAGGATCTTCAAAGAATGCCTATGAATGCTAATAAAATGTTGTCAACCCAATGCAACTTGCTACTACCATACACTATCTCAGTCAGTCTGATGTCTGCATTATTAAGTAGAGTTTGGTGCATATTATAAGAAGTTCATTACCTGGATTGTTTTCTTTAATTGTGACTAAATAGAATAATCCTCCTGTTGAAAGCAGATCTGCTACTAAAGGAAAAAGTCTATCCATTACTTCTCTGCCATTTTTGCCTCCAGCCCAGGCAGCCTCTATTCCATGGCTTTCTGCCTAGAGTAAATTAGAGAGATGATAAAATTGCTTTGCTAAGTGTTTGAACTTTTATACAGATAAATGCTCTAGATCAGCATTTCTCAACCTGTAGGTCATGGCCCAAAAGTGGGTTGCAAGAATATATGAAAGGATTGTGAACACATTCTAAAAATGAATCAACAAACTTTAAAAATGGATTCTCTTTTAAAGGAGAAAAACGTGGGAAGTAGTGGTTTTTCCCTTGCAGGCTGGCAGAGTTCCAGCCTGTGAGAGGCTTCTTGAGGTCCCCCATGCTCCACACCATCGGCCCTCTGCCCCACACACTGGGAGACTGGGGTGGGGTGCAGCAGGTCAGAAGTGAGAGGCACTGGATCAGGACTGGCCATCAACGTTTACAAATGGGTCCTGGTACAAAAAAGGCTGAGAACCACTGCACTAGATGTTTGGAACACTTTAGGAACCCCCACCATTGTCCATACCCAAAAGAGCCAAACCATTTTAAACATCAAAATTGTTAAATGGCAGCACTGTTTATTTATCAGATGTGTCTTATTTCAGGGCTGTGCTCCAGAGACATAGACACATTAATTTGTTTGCAGCTGTTTGAAAATAGACTGTTTTGTAACAGTCAAAGGTACTTTTATAAATGGGCATTAGCGTAAATTTCCAATAACAGGCCTGAATAACTGCAAGATAAAAATTAAAGCAGGCCAAAAAGTGCAATTTTCATCTGGTGGGATAGGGGGAGGGGGAGAAAGGTGGGGAATTCATCCTAAATCAGGTTGAAAAGTTTCAAAACAAAACAAAAACAACCCCTTAAAATTGTGTGAAAAATTCTGAAAATTTTCATTTCAGAAGAACCAAAAGAGAATCTGTCAACTCACACTTAGAAGGCTCTTGTTAATTTCACTTTCTCCCTTCAGAAATGCACCTTATTTTGGGAAATGGGTGTTTTCCAATGGAAAAATTAATTTCTGTAGAAAACTCCCAAATTTCCTATGGAAATAGGGGTAGGTAATGGCCTTCATACCTTGTGCAACAAGGTGCTACAAATCTAGTGGTCGATATTTCTTGTAAAGAGTTATGTGACCATCAATGGCTCTACTTTCACTTGCTCTTTATCAAACCACTGCAACTCAAGAATAGTATTTAATTTCAGTTCATTAAATTACTACCAATTTGTAACATGAGAACCAAATCATACTGTAAAAGACTGATTTTAAATTGCAAATCCTCATATCTTACCTCTTCAGGAGGGGTCACCACATAAGGTGGATTAAACAGCAATACATCAACTTGCCCATTTAATCTTGGTACCAGTCCTGTGACCTAGAGATTAATCAAGGTATGGAACAGGTTCTCTTACACACCTGAAGGGTAACAGAAACACACACTTATATTGCTCTTTATACAAATAATCATTACAAGACTGCATATTTATCATGCATGGGATTAAGTGGGAAGCTAAGCTGAATACCGTATTTACTTAAATAAAAGATGGCCCTGATCATAAAATGACCCCTGAATAATTAGATTTTATATTTGGAAAATGTATAAGTTTCTTATGATTTCCAGGCATAGAATCTAATTAGTGGAAGTTAGCTTTGAATTTGTCCCCCTCCCATTGCTATAGCAGGGAAAATAAATCTCAGGGCTCAGGTAGCCCCTTTGCTCTCTGCCTCCCCCCACCCCTCTCCTTACTGTTAAATCCTGTTCTCTCTGAGCACACGGCTGTGAGGAATAAACGTGAAAACACTGACCTTAAAATTAAACATAGATGTACTAATTTGTATACAGTACCCATACACTTAGTTCATATAGAATTGATGCATGTTGCTTTTTGGAACTGCTGCAAGTTCTAGCACAGGTTCTTGATAAACGCACTTTTAAGCAGCACTTTGGCACCCACTAACATATAGTACAAACTATACTTGACATTTGTCCAAAGTTAAGAACCTCATAATTTACCCTATGGTTCACTGAGCTAGAACCCACTAGAATCCACGTGATTTCAAGCCACGTTGATCACACACCTCAGCACTGCTCAGTATGCATGTGTACTTCAGATACCCCGCAAAGGATCTATGTGCTAATTAGGCTGCCACTCATTACTGGAATTAGGTGTTCTTATTATAAGTCCTGGGATTCTCCAGAAATGTATATGCAGATAAGATGCAGGGCACCCTGGTCTGGCTCTACCTCATCGACAGCAGAGCCACACAAAACATATGCGATGTGCTGGGGGAGAGGCGACAGAGGAATTCTGGGTGAACTGTTTGGGGCCCCGTTTGGTGATGTTTGCCAGATATTTAAGGCTGGTAAAAAAACAGGAATAATTGGAAATGGGAAAAAAAGGCGCAGCTCAGCTGTACTGCAAGTGATTTCCCATGGGAGTGATAACATTATCTTATATAAACCATCTAAAGTGCAGTGGCATCTGCCCCTATTTTCCATTCTGCTCCATAGCAATGCATTAAATTTATCACATTTGGTTCTGAACAGCTTAGTCTTCCCACTTACTCCAAGAGCACTATGCCTGTCTCACTGTGCTGGGGCAGTACATAGACCAAAACACCCAGGATAGTACTACAGAATTCTCAACAGGGTCCCAGCCCATGAATTAGAGCTACAGAATAGTAAGAGAAAGAAAGAAAGAAGCTATACTAATTAAGGGCATCAAATGATATGCAGTTTTTTGCCTCTTGCTCAGGTTCATACTCAGCCCAGGTCTGAAATTATGCAAAGTTAAACTTCTGTTATCTGTTCATTGGCCTACATGAGGCAATAATTTTTCACTTGGAAACTTGACTGTTGACAAGTATTCACATATTCTAGCTAACAACATTTTTTAAAATTAAAAATTTACAGGAAGCGTAAAACTTACTTTCCCATGATGTGATGCATTCTTTATTTAAATGAATCATGATACAAGGGAACTTATAACAAAGAGACAAAACATTTAGACTTGGGCATTTATAGGTTATTATAGCCCTGGGTACAAAGTTAGTCGCCCACCTGAAAGCTCTAGGTGTTCTCAGTTTTCAAATCCATCTACAAGTAATTCAGCACTAGCTGTATTTTAACAACTGAGGGACTCATCTGGCATAGACTTTCTTTACAGTTTGGTACCACATCAGCTGTTTTGTCCTTTCATGTTCAGTTGTTACCTCTCAGCTCCGTGATCTTGGGGAACCCTGGCACAGGATGCAGCCTGTCTGACTCACAAAGAATCCCCCCCCCACCTAAACAAAACTGATTAAGATGCAGTGGGAGACACCTAAAACCCCCCCAGATAAGGGTGACAAGAGTGAAACAACTGCCCTAGGTCTCATTCGCATCTGAGATGGAACCAGATGACCATTCATTTACATGGGAGATGGAGAACAGAAAGCCCAAAGCAAAGACTGCAGTGAATTCTAGGATCAGAGAAGCAGGGGAGCACTGCATGATGGGGAATCTGTGCTCCAAATGCTAATCAACCCACATTTACGCACACCCAGCTCAGCATTTATCAGACCAGTTCTAATATGGATTTACAAAGGACTGCCCCCACTAAGCAGAAGTAAAGTTTAATAGGCATCTCAGGCTGTACATTCCCCGGTCCCACTATGGGAGGCCTATTTAAACTTGATTGACTAAAACTTGGTTGCCGGGTTAAGGAATGCTGAGGCAAAGAGACCAAGTCAGAGGGGGTATGGGCAACATTTGAACAATGGTAAAGGGTTCATCACAGCATCCAGCCTGTTGGAGCACTGACCACAAGTGTTGTCATACTTTTCCCAGGATGACTGGTGGAAGTCCTCCCCACAAAAGGTTATGAACACTCCAATGATTGCCTTAAGTCTGTTAAAAGACTATAGTCAGATCTGGAAAAGTCATGCTAAGCTGAGGTTTGTTCACAAGTGAAAAATCCAAAACCCTGATGCTACAAGCTATCTATTGTTTCTGAAGAAATCATGAAATATCCCAGTCAGTATATCTGCTATCCATAGGAATTTCAAGCTGACTCCTAAGTGTCTGGTTACTCCTTAACCTTATTTTTTTCCTGATTATCAATCAGTTTCTTGAGATATTCCAAACCAGATAACCCCTTGCCAATAGAAAAGACAATTATTTACACTATTAAGAATGCTTTGAAG